GCAGGGAGGCAGATGGTCTCGGCCACCTGGAGACACAGTCTGGGTTCACGTGGCCAGAGTGGGCTATGCCAGGGGCAGGGCTACAAGGGAGGTCACCCGGATCACGTGGTCAGGGGAGGCGTTGGGACCTCTCCAGGTGATGGCCCCACTGGGGCTGGCTGTGCCGGCCCTGGACGTGCCCTGGGCAAAAGGGTGGACTGAGCCACGTGCAGGACGTGCAAGTGACCCGTTCCCCTTCCTGTTATCCTGGGTGTCCATGCACAGCGTAGGGCATTCAGGAAAGGAGAGTGGCCCGCATCAGAGAGGCACAGGGCTGAGCAGCCGAGCCGCAAGAGCCCCAAGAGCCACAGCTGGATGAGCGGAGCAACCCGATATCAAAATAACATTGAAGCTGGATGTGGGGGTGCTTGCCTGTAATGTCAGCACTTGGGAGGCTGAGGCAGGGGAATTGCTGCGAGTTTCAGGCTAGCCTGAACTACATAGCTAGACTCTGTCTCACGAATAACAAACAAAGTAGTATTGAATTACAACTCAGCGTAGAAAATAAGAGACAAACATCCCATGTGCGAGAGTCTCAAATACTTTACACAGCTGCTACGTCTTGAAGGAGTCCGTGCTAACCCGGGTCCTTAGGCGTGGGGCGCGCATAGTGACTTCCCTCCAAAGCGGACAGTGTGGGGGTGGAGAAGCACTGACAAGCGCTGACTGTCCCCCACCGGGGCGCCACCCCTGGCGCCGAGTCCTGGTGACCACTGTGCCCCATGCACTGCGATGAGGACGGCCTTCTCCGGGACACCCCTGCTGCCCAGTCGCACCCCAAGAAGCACGTCCCAAGTCCCCAGTGAGGGACACCCTAAGCATCAGTTTGCGCCCCTCAGAATTCTCATGGGTGCCCAAGCAAGGAAAGCCCAGGACTCACAGGCGGGCGGAGCCCGAGGAGACAGGCGCAATGGCTCTGTGTCTCCGGGCGGCCTGGCTGGGTCGCTGCTGGGTCAGGAAGGGACAAGCAGTGGAAATCTGACCAGAGCGTGGCATTTGGATCCCGTGGGCCGCACGTGACCCGGATGGCTGGGAATGCCACCCCACAAGACGGGAAGCCTTTAGCGTTGTTGTGGGATTTCTAGCGCTATTTTTTAGACTCCACCGCACGGTTTTTGAGCACAGCCTGTACAGGTGACAGGGGTGCCTGGGTAGGGGCAGGCGTCGTGCAGAGCTGATCCACCTCCTGTACCTGCTAGTCAGTCCTTGAAACTTGGGTGTACCACACCTCACACCAGCTTGTGCAGCGTGGCGATCGTAGTATTTTCGCCCACCCGCACAGGTGTGTGGCTGTGAACACAGGCATTTATTATCGTCAGGTGAGTTTTCCTAAACTTGGGCTTTGGTGTTATTTCTTAAAATAATAAGTTAAAATGTCCAAAAGGAAGCCTTGTTGCTTTAGACATTAACTAGATTACATATTTTATATGCGGCCCCAAACGACTCCTCTTCCCTCAGCCCAGGCCAGCCAAAATGTTGGACACCCACTGTTTATACCAGCCGTGGCAAACCTGTGACACTCGTGCTGCTGAGGGCTCTTGAACACTCTGAAAGGTTCGCCGTCACTGGTCTGGATGCTACTAATGTACCAGTGCTGGTGCCCTACTTGGGACAAATGTACCTTAGTAATGTCACCAATTAGTAATGGTACTGGGTGAAAGATAGTGAAGAATTCTGTGCTGTCTTTGTGTTTTTTCTGTAAATAAGAAATCCCTCTAAAACAGAAAAATGTACTGAAAAAAATAGCCAGGTGCAGAGGTGCACACCTGTAATCCCAGTTAATCAGGAGACCTAAGAGGAAGATGGCAAGTTCAAGGCCAGACTGGGCAACTTAGCGAGACCCTACCTCAAGCAATGAATGAATGAGTGAGTGAAAGAATGGCTAAGGATGTAGCTCAGTGGTAGAGCTTTTGCCTAGCATGTGTAGAACCTCAGTACTGCAATCAATCAATCAATCAATCAATCAGTCAATCAATCAATCAGTCAGTCAGTCAGTCAGTCACTCAGTCCCTTGTGCTTCATCACTTACCACCAGTCATTCTCTTGCCTTCTACTCCTGTTTCTGTGCATTTTCTTTCTTTCTTTTTTTCTTTTTTTTTTTTTTTTGGTACTGGGAATTGAACACACACTTGCTGGGCAGGTGCTGTGCTGCTGAACTATGTACCACAGAAGGGCTAAGGCCAAAATTACACTTTCTTACTTGCTCACTGTCTTAGTTACTTTTCTCTCATTGCTGGGACAAAATACCTGACACCCAGAATTAAGCAAGGGAAGGTTTATTTAGTTCACAGTGTGTGGAGGTTTCAGTCCATACTTGGCTGGCTCCAAGGCAGGGTGGCACAGTTCATGGCGGCAGAGGACAGCAAAAGCAACAAGAGCAAAAGGGAGGAGAGAGAGCAGCCTCTTTCCCTCCCTTACATTGTATGCAGGCTCCCCGCCCCAGGGCAGTGTAGCACTCACGTGCATAATCCCAGCATTGGACCGTAGATCAATCTTAAACTCTCCTGCCCCATGACTGAATGAGGCTTTGCGGGGACATCCAGACACAAACCATAACACACACTTACCCCCGGGCAGGACGTAATACATGGCCTTATCATTTTGTCCGTGTAAATGCATGGAAAATGCAGCGTGTGGCACTCATGATTTTGTGCCCCGCTCCCTGCCGTTATGCACCCTTCCTGCACACCTCCCTACAACCTGGGGCCCAGGAAGGACATCTGAGAGGACCCCTGTCTGTCCCCATGGCAGGGTGCACAGTTGCCGGAGGAGCTGGTCTCAGTGGAGGCCTCATCCGTGTCCTCCGGCCCCAGTTCCCTGGAAGAGGAAACGGACGGTCAGCCGCTCACTTGCAGGCTCCGGGGCGACTTGCCCTCTGGGGTGTGCCATGCACGGGAGGCCACAGCAGGCAGTGTCCACACTATCGAAGGCCGCAGTCACTCTCAGCCCAGACAGCCCCGTGCCTCACACCCACAGGCTCCAGGCCAGGGACCATGCCCCTCCGGACCAGCTGTGTGACCTTGGTGATTTGCCTCCCCTCTCTGTGCCTCAGTGTCCCCACCTAGCAAGCAGAGACAATAGCACAGAGAGAATTCCCTTACGGAGTTCCTTGGGCACAGTCTAGCTGGGCGCATAGTCCTGCTCCTGAACGCTTACTCTGTGTCAGGCACAGTGGGCGGGGGTGACGTTATCCTCTCCGTTTGACACACAAACTGAGGCACCGAACCCTAAGTGACCTCAGCTGGTGGAGCCACTGTCTAGGCTGAGTGTGGGCCCAGCCCCTATGCTGCAAGAGCACTGTCCCCATTTATTCATTCATTTATTCATTTGTTCATTCATTTATTTGTTTATTCATTCGTTCTCTCATTCAACCAATGTGGAGAGCCCCAGCCTGTGCCGGGCACTGGGCCCTGCAGGGATGGGGCCGGGGAGACCCAGTTGTGGCCTTATCCTAACAGCTGGCAGTCCCGAGGCCCTGTGGAAATGAGGGATAGGAAGAAGCCAGCGGTTTACTGCTATCCCTAACCTAACCCCACCCACACGGCAGGGGCTGGGACCAATGATGCTGGGCCCACTGCACGCGGACGCCCTGCGCTGGGCCCATGTTTTCATTTGACCCCACCTCTCTGACTGTCTGGCTATGAGGGGTCGCACTCCAACAATGGTCTTCTCCATGCCACCAAAGCCCTTCCTGCCCTCTCTCTGAGGCCAGGGAAACCCTGGCAGCCTAGGGAGGCAGGAAGTTAAAGTGGAGGCAAATGAAAGGGCCCAGGCCACCGGGTGAGTGCTTGGGTCCCTGACCCTGACGTGTGGCTGGCATTCCAAGGCCAGGCCCGTTGCAACTTCCCCGGGGCGGCCTCGAGCCGGCGGTGCACAGTGGGGAGCAGCACCTGTGGCCGCTTCACAGCAACGGGGTTCCCGGCCAGCCCTCCGGGGAGGACACCTGCCACTGCGAATGCACAGCAGGGATGTGTGGTGTTGACACTGCAGGTAGAGGTGCTGATGTCCCCAGTCTGACCAGGCCACCAGGGCCTTAGCCTGGGCGAGGCCATGGCCACCCACACGACCCCTGTCCTGTGCAGCCCTTGCCATCTCCCCTACACCTGGACCCTGTGATGCTGTGACCCTGCTCACCTCCTTCCCCACTCTGCGAGGTCCCCCACGGCCATGCGTGTCCTATGGCTGCCCTGACACAGTGCACCTGGGGCTGGGGAGCCGGTTCCCTCACAGCCCAGGGGCGGGATACACCACGTGTCCAGACGTGGACAGTGGTGGCTCCTGTGGGGGTTCAGGGGACATCCCCACATCGCATCCTCCGGCGTCTGTGTGGCGGTCACCCCAGGCCCTCTGCCTTGTGGGTGCGCCCTCCACTGTCCTATGCTGCCGTCTCTGTTTTCCCGTCTTTCCGTGAGGACCCTGGCCACTGGACTTAGGGCCACCCCAAGTTCAGGAGGGTCTCATCCCAAGGTCCTCGGCCACATTGCCAAAGACCCCATTTGTAGATGAGCTCGCGTTTCCAGCTGTGGGTGAGGTGCAGCTTCGTCTTTCTGGGAACGCTGTCCAGCCCAGGGCCGCTGTAGCCTTCAGAGCTGAGTCTCCTGCCTCCTGCCGCTACTCCTCTCCCTCCCCAGCCCCTGCGCTCCCGGAATCCTGTCCTCTGCCTTCGGTGGCCCCTGTCCCCACCATCCCAGCCCGCCCACCCTTGTCCTGCTTTGCTCGTGGGGGCTCAGTGGTCCCCAACCCCTGTTTCAGACAAAACAGATGAGACCTCAGGCCTTGGGTCAAGGTGGAAGACTCGGTCTCAACAGCGTGGGACACTGGGGGCCCCAGGAACGAGTGAGGGGGTGGCTGTGGTTAGCCCTGGGCAGCAGGCCAAGTGTGGCGGCCAGCGTCTCGGCTGCGCACCCTTCCCTGGTGGCCCTGGCGCCTGCAGCCGGCCTCACACCTGCTCTGTGTTTCAGATCATCCTGGTGAGCTCCTCGCTCAGCGACCGCGAGCAGAGCCTCTTCCTGAGCACCGACGAGGGCGCCAGCTTCCAGAGGCAGCCCATCCCCTTCCTTGCGGAGACCCTCCTCTTCCACCCCAGGGACGAGGACAAGGTCCTGGCCTACACCAAGGAGAGCAAGGTAGGAGGGCACGGGCTGTGCCGTCTGGGGTCAGGGATCACCCAGCCCCACAGGGTGAGTGCCCGATCGGACAGATGTCAGCCCAGAAGCCGACTTTCCCATCAGAGGGGCTCAGCACCCTGGGCTGGCACAGCGGCGGCCTTTTGGGGCTGGGGAGCACTGGGCCAAAGGTCATCTTCTCTGTGCCACCACTGTCACATCTGGAGTTGCCCGTCCTGCAGTGCGTGGGAGCTAGGCCAGGTGGAGACTGGGTCAGGAAGTCATAGGTGAGGGTGGGGTCTCATCCTCACCTCTCTCACCCTGGTTGGAAGGAAGGGCTTCCTCCACTTCCAGAGCATTGCCCACCTCCCCTGCCAGCATTGCCAGGCCTTGCCTCTGCCCAGACGCCAGGAGAGAGGACCGTCCAGGGACAGGTCAGCGGCCCCTGCTGCGAGCTGTGTCCCCTACACCCTAAAGGAATCCGGGCCCCTTCCCACGGGCCAGGGCCCTACAGTGTGGCAGGTGGGAGAGCACTGGCTGTGTGTGGGGAGGGAGCCCAAGCCTGGTGCTGAAAGCTGAGGCGGGAAGAGTTGCCAGAGCTGGAGGACAGGGCCTTCCTGAGTTCTTGCAGCCCCGGGACATCGTTACACACCATAAATGCATCCTCTCGCTGTTCCAGAGGCCAGAAGTTGGAATTTGACATCCCTGGGCTGCAGTCAGGGGGCCTCCTCAGGCTCCAGGGGAGAAATAGTCCTTGCCCTCCCAGGTTCCAAAGGTGGCTGCATCCCTTGGCTTGTGGTTGCATTGTACCATCTTGGGGGCAGCATCCCTGGATCCTCTGCTCCGTCTTCACTACGCCCACTGTGTGTGCATGTCGGGGGGGGGTGAGGGCTGTGCACACCTGTGTGCCTGTGTGTGCGTGTGGGCGCATGTGTGAAATTTGCCCCAGCCCCTCTACTTTGTAAGGACTCATGGGGTTGTGTTTCAGCCCCCACCCCCGCAATCCTCAGAGATAGTCTCCCCAGTTTCACTAACCCGTCCGTAGAGTCCAGCTTTAGATCCTGAAAGGTAACCATCCCAGGTTCGAAGGATTTGACCCAGTGATCTTTGGGGGTGGGTATTTTCAGCCCCTTCCACTACGCTCAATCAGAAGCATGGAAAAGGATGAGGGGGAGGCCTGGCCTTGGTGATGGTAACGTGGCCCCTGCCAAATTGTGGGTGCATAGTCAGGGACCAGGAGACATCCCAGCCCCTCATCCACCATCTAGTCTTTTGTTGGCGCCCTGCATGGGCTGAGGGAGGGAGTCTGTGGACACCATCAACTGGGTCAGTCCCCAGGCCCAAGCAGGGTACAGTGGGCCAGCAGGGTGTGCGGGGCGAACAGCAGCCACCTGATCCACAGCCTTCCTCTTGCAACCCCAGGTTAGCCTGGGCCCACTCCTGCTCTTCTGGGGTCCTTGTCCTTATTTGTGCTACTGTTTGGTTATTATCTGCACCCTACACACACACCTGGGCTAAGCTCCTTTAGGTCAGGGACAGTGTCTGACTTTTTCACCATTTCATCTCAACTGCCTGGCTGGCTGGCTGGTGGGATGGACGGTTGGATAGACAGATGGATGGGTGGCTGGCTGGATGGGTGGACAGACAGAAGGACGGATATATAGATAGATGGATGGATGGATGATATATGGGTGGATGGACAGATGGATGGATGGATAGATGGATGGATGGATGGATGTCCAGACTCAAGGGCTAGGGCTGAGGAGTAAATGGATAGATGGATGCATGCACAGGTGGGTATTGTGGTAGATGGCAGTGAAGACGGGTGCAGGTGTGGGGTTGGGGCAGGCAGGTATATGGATAGACGATGCATAGGTGGGAGGTGGGTGGGTAACTGAATGGATGGATGGTGGCTGGCTAAATTAATGAATGAGTGGATAGATGACAATGTGATCAGCCAGGTCAGAGGCCTCCAGAGGGAGACCCCTGCCTGGTCCGGATCCTGGCTGCTGACAGGACCCGGCCCCCCTGCTGAGGTCTGCCTGCTGCCAGGGTCTCTGCTGCCCCTGGCCTTCTGGGCTGGCCCTCCACTCCAGCCACCTCCCTGGGGACAGCGTGTGCTGCTGGGTATTAATAGCACTACTTAGCTTTCCATGTAATTAGACCAAAGCACAATCATGGAGACTTATTTTCCTGCAGAAATTGACTGCATCGCAATTGCTCTTTAATTTATGGTGCCCTGAAAAATTAATGGAGCTGAAATCTTAGTTATTTTTCTTGGTTCTTTTCTGTGTCTACAAGGAGAGGAAAAGGGGAGAAAAAAGGCTTAGTTGTGGTTATAAAAGGAAAGAGCAATTTGGGGGAATTAATAAGAATGACAGCAGGGCTTTAATTTGGGGAGAACTTCAGTTTTTCAGAGCTCTCTAATTCCCAAGAAGCTGGGTGGAACAACGCCAGCTCTGGGCTCCAGCAAATCTGGTGTATTAGGCAGTGTCTGCTGCAATGTACTAAGTAACACAGCCTCAGAACCACCGGCTGGGGCAATACGTCCTGGGTGGCATCCTTGGTCTTCAGGGCAGGGCTAGATTGGCCAGAGGTGGCTCCTGGTGAGTGGGCTGCAGACCTGTGACTCTCGCCCGGGGAATACACTATTCCATGGCAGGGCCAAGGCTCTGGGGACAGCAGCTTTAGCTTGTCAGCCTTGACCTGCACGCACATGACATTGACCCAAGAGAGTCACACACCGTACCCAGAGTCAACAGGATGTCATCCATGCCACTCACCAGGATCTGCAGACTCAAAGATCGGAGCCTCCCCTCTCGCCCTCCGCCTCTTCCTCCCTGATACCTGCCGAGCTCAGCAGAGACCTTCTGCCCAGCCTCTGGCTGCCCATGGCCTCCTCGCAGTTCCCCCTGTCTGTGCCAGCACAATTTGGGGCGTTCTGACCCCTTAATCTGAAGTCTGGAAGGCTCCCTGCGTGTGACAACCCAATGCCCTTTCCTTCCAAGGATGAGCAAACTCCAGGGTGCCCTGGGACATGGAGCTGTGAAACCTGGCGGTTGCTCATCATGCCAGCCCACTCGAAGAGCAGACGCAGCACCCACCAGCCTGTTTGCTCTGTGCTCTGCTTGCTGGCAGAGCTGTGGGTGCCACTTCTAAAACAGTGAGACTTGCTATCCTACTTCACCGTGCTCTGTTGTGCTCTACTCTCCATCAAGAGTCTCTTCTGCTTCCCTGTGAGAAATTGATCAGAGCCTGGGAAACAGGGGAGGGAGCAATCAGAGAGGACTTCCTGGAAGAAGCATGCTTGACTAGGGGCCTAAAAAATTGGTCACAATGTATCATTGTCTAATACAACTGCAGAGCAATAAAGGTGATCACACAGGGAAAGAAAGGAAAAGGGAAGCCCACAGTCCTGCGCCCCTCATACAGCATGTATCCATGCCAAAGGAAAGGTCAGTGCTGCCATCATGGCAACAGGTATGGGATGTGGCAAAGGAAAGGGTCCCCAAAATTTGGGCTCAGAGGCACAGACCTCACATTGGGTGGTGTGAATACTGGCTGGTACATGAGCTGCTAGCAAGACTCTAAGTGTCAGTACCATGTTTATAGCCCTCTGACCTCAGGCTGCAGGACCAAGAAGAGACAAGACTTCTCCCGAGGAACAGAACAATTTTGTGAGCAAGAACCTTCAGCTTCAGGCTGTGTTCATTCTGGCTCTGACCATTCGCATCCTCCAGGGCAAATGGATATTTCCACAGAAAAGGGACTTGGCGGGCAGGATCTGGCACTTTCTACATTGTTAGTAGAACTGGGCCCCCAAGGACATCTCTCAGAGCCAGCTAGCCTCGCCCACAGGGAGTGTCCAGCTCTGCCCACCAGGACAGTGAACACCAGGAGCCCACTGAGCCTACCAAGGTCAAGGACATGTGGCTAGGGCAGGATCTAGGCAGCTGAAGCTGCTACTGCTACAGTCCCCTTGGCCTGGTTAGGGGTGCTGGGATGCAGAGTCCAGCTGTTGCCTCCCCACAAGGCCCCTCCTCTCCACACCCTTGAGCTGGAACAGATGCCCATGACCTGCTGGCCACTAGAAATACCCCAAGAGGCAGGAGAATGCCTTGGCTCACTTTGGCCTTCCTGAACTTCTGAGTGCAACCCTCTGAGCAGGAATCTAGCTGCAAGGGAGTCCAAGTAGTCTGAGTTTCCCAGCCTGGACATGGTGCCCTGAGCAAGCAGGGAGTGTGACAAGTACCTCCACCTGCACCCAGGTGCCACCTTGTTGCCTAGGAAGAACTGCAGCCCTGGGCACCCCTGAGCTGCACCCTGCCATGCACTCCTGTGTGCCCCTTTCCTCTGGCCCCCCCTGCTGCTTGACCTGGCCTCTTCCCCCCACCACCTTTCTATCAGGGTGCGCACTCTGAGCACTCTCCCTCTGGTGCTTTCGGAGCCATACCCCTCCTGCTAGACGTCCCTGTGTGGGTTTCAGCAGCAGTGACAGACGGGGGTCTCCCTGCTATGTTTACTCTTGTTTATTTGTTCATGTTTGTCACTTATTAAGCAGAAATGTTCTATTTCTGCAACAGTTGATGGTGAGTAGTAAAATCGCCTCCCGTGAGACTACACTGGAAAGGCTCCATAAAGTCTGGGGACAGGCGTCCCAAACGCTAGTACACCAGTGATGACAAAGACAATGCCATCCGTTAATGGGGAGGCTTTGTCACCAATCTTCTGAAACTGATGCCGCAGCTGCTGTTTTATTCCCTGGTTGGCTGTGGTTGTGCAGTGCTCTCCCAATTTCTGGGTGGGTAAACTAAGACATGAGGCAGAAGGGGCCTCACCAGATGGGGTCACCAGATGACCCACAGAAAGGGCTACAGGTGACCAGCTGTTATTCCCAGAGGACTCCTCAGCCGCTAACCTAGGGCTGACTGCAGGTTTGTGTGGGAGGAATTCCGCTGTGACCCGGCACTGTGTGCCTGGGAGCAACTCACGTCCCTCTCCGTGCCTCAGTTCTTTCATCTGTAGGGAGGGAAAATTGCTTGTCTTATGGGTGGCTTGTGAGTGTGCATGTGCATGACAATTTGCACACCTGTGTGTCAAGTGAAGCAGCATCTGATGTGCTTAGCTCAGCATCTGGCTGCGTAAAACGCCACAGCTGTGGCCAGGTGCTCCCATTGAGGGCCAAACGGAACTTCTGAGCTCAGAATCACTGCCTGCCGGGGGCATTTTCCAAGCACCGTCCTCCGGCTGGGCTGGTCCGCGTGGTGGACACAGCATGTATGATCCTTGACCTCGTGAGGCTCACGTCCTGTCCTTTTGAATAGTACAGGTGTGAGTTTCTTCTCATGTACCCCAGAGCAGGTGTCACACACAATGGCCTGCTGCCTGTTTTTGTAAATAAAGTTTTATTGGCACACGGCATGCCCACATGCCTGTGTGTGGTCTCTGGCTGCCTCCTTGCGCCACGGGCAGAGTGAGTGGTTGCCTGTAGAACCAGGGCACTTATCCTCTGACCCTTACAGAACAAGCTCACCGAGCCTGCCCTGCAGTCAAGAGGTTCTCATTCATTCAGAAAACACGCCAGGTGCACCGGCCAGCAGCCAGGGAGCCGCTCGGCTCCGGTGCGAGGCCAGTAGGTCAGTGGTGCTGAAGTGTGCAGAGAAGCGAGAAGTCAAAGCCCGTTCGTGGAAGCAGGCGGTTCCTTCCTGCTGCCTGTGCAGTGGCAGAGAGCAAGTTCAGCAGGGTCAGTATTTCTGATGTCTGCGAACCCTAAGCTGATTCCTGCCTGACACAGCAGCGGTGGCTGCAGGGGTGGGCGGGTAGAGCAGAGGGCAGGCCCCTCCCAGCTATGGTAGGATGGCTCAGTGGGAGGGTAAGAGGGAGGGAAGCCATTTGTAGAATAGACAGGAAGGAGGAGGAGAAGGAGGAGGAGGAGGAGGAGGAGAGGGAGGAGGAGGAGAAGGAGGAGGAGGAAGAGGAGGAGGAGGAGGAGGAAGAGGAGGAGGAGGAAGAGGAGGAGGAGGAGGAGGAGGAGGAGGAAGTGAAGGGCAGCAGGGTGAGCGGGGAACTGCTAAGAGCAAGGGCTGCCCCTCCCCCACACCCCGGCTGGCCAGGGCCCTGCCTTCCTGACGCTGCTGTCTGGGGCCTGTTCAGGCCATTTTGGAGAGAGAGCAGCCAGGACTTCCTCCAGCAGTGACCTCTGCTCTCCCCACTGTGTCCCCAAACAGGGACAGAGGTCCTGCCCCCCACTTGGGAGATGAGGCCAGGCCCCAGTCTGCCGGTGAAGCCAGCTGTCTTAGGCCGGGAGGCTGGGTGATCATAAAGAGCCAAGGTTTATTGGCTGGGGGGTCCATGTGCTTGGCCCTGGCCCCCGCTGGGTATCTGGCAAAGCCTCAAACTCCATCGTAACCTGGCGCGGGGCTCCCACGGGAGACAGGGCTGTCTACCTGCTCGGATCTCTCCTCCTCTCCTAAACCCACCGGTGCCACCCTGGGGGCCCCTCCTGACCTGGTCTGACCCCTGTCACCCCGCAGAGGCCCCTAAGCCCCCTAACAAATTTGAGGACGAAATCTCCAACCCCTGAACTTTTGCGACCACAGTGAAACCACAGCTGTGGCCCTCCAGGTGTCTGAGGCACAGGCCCACGTGCCCAGCCCCTGGGCACCTCCTGCTTCCCCGGGCCGACCTGCTGCCAGCAGCTCTCATGTCCTACCAGGGCCTGGGGCCCTCGTGCAGAGGGACGTCACCTGGGGTTGCCACCAAGGCACTGGGAGGGCTGGAGGAGAAGGAGCAGGTGGGAAGGGGACTGCGAGGCTGGGCACCCATGTGGCTGAGGCACAGCCCCCACCATCAGGACCCTCGGGCCTCTGCAGCATCCCATGATGCTTAGCGCCAGGCTTCTCTTGGGCTCCAGGACCTGGTGCTGCCCCTGGGGACAGTGTTGTGGAGGCACCAGGCTGTGGAGCAGGCAGGGCGGTGCACAAGAGCTCAGGGGAAGGCTGTGCCTGTCCCTCCCCGTGGCAGTTCAGAGGGATGAGAGCAAGCACGGCAAGGGGTTCCGTGTGAGCTTGCTGCGACCGCCGGAGCAGGGCACCTGTGTGTCTTCGTGCCAGGCCTGAAGGAAGTGTGGGCCCTGGCAGAGGGTCCTGGGAGGTGACGGGGTCTCACAGACAGACACAGAGGCTCAGCCAGGCCCTAGGTTCAGAGTCTTCTTGGGGACCCTGTGTGGAATTCTGATTGGAAGGCGCTCCCTGGGTTTCCCCGCCTGTTTCAGAGAAGAGAGGGAAGGAATGGGTTACCCACCACTTCTGATGTCCTCTCTGTTCTGTTCCCAAGGCGCTGTATTTTATTTTGGAGTGCTGCGCCTCGAAGCCACCATCGGTTTCCATGGAAACATGGAGCAATTGGGTCCCCTGCCCAGTGGGGTTGGGGTGGCACAGAGGGGTCTCCTTCCTGCCCACTGCCCCAGGCACACCCTCAGAGCTGGCCCCTTAGGACATTGCAGGTCCCTCTCACACTGTGTCACCAGCAGAGGAGGGGCCTCATGCCCAGCTAAGCACGGGGAGGGAGCCGATTCCGGGCTCACCCTGTGGACCCAGCAGCTCCCCTAGTCATCTCCAAAGGTCACTCTGGTGTAAGACATCCTGGCAGAGCACCAGCATGTGCAGGAGACCAGCTTCCGCTCCTTCCCAGGACCCGGGCACAGCCCCCGGGACACCTCCCTGCCGCCCACGCCTCTGGGGCCCGCCCAGCAGGCCTCTCGCTCGCTGCCCCTTTCTCCTGTCACTCCTCTGTGCCTCCAGCTGGTCCCAAACCACCTCCCCTGGCTTCAGCCCCCACCATGCAGCTGGGGTGAGCTGGGGTCCCCATGGACCACGGCTCCCGAGTACCTCGTCTCTTCTCACCTCAGCTGGGGTTTCAAGCAGGGACACTGCATCACGCCCAGGGTCTGGTGCAAAATGGAGAGTGCTGAGGACCCAGGACAAACCTTTGTCTTTCTTCTGCGGTCTCTCTGGACCTGTCACTGTGCTGGATCTGACCTATTAATACCACACACACACACACACACACACACACACACACACCCACACACACACACACACACACACTCACACACACACTCACACACGCACGGGCTCAGGGCTCCTTGCTCAGGGAGGGCAGACATTCAGGCCCTGAGGGGGGCGCCAGCATGGGGCATTGGAAGGAGACGGGAGCAAGGGGCCCCCAGGGTGGGCCCCGGAGTGTGGCATTCAGCAGGACCTCGAGGAGGCCCGGCACATGCACTGCGGCCCCCTCCCACTCCCTCCCTCTGCTCTCACGTGGGTATTGCACAGTCCTTCCTGGCTCCAGGCTCCAGCACACCTCCTCTGGGGTGCTTCCCTAGATTTCACCCTAGTGGCCCTTGCCCTGCCAGCTGACCTCCGGGGCCAGGCTGCTGTGCGTGGGGCCCCTTCCTCAACACCGGCCCTGAGGGCTGGTCTGTTCCAGAGTGCACAGTCTGTGTCTGTGGGGCAAGACCGAGGGCCTCTTGCCCGGTCACAGCAGGAGGCTTCCGTCTCAGCAGTGCTCACTCAAGACGTCATAACCACTTCCGTTCTGTTTTTCCGCCCTGAAGCTCTACGTATCGTCTGACCTGGGGAAGAAGTGGACGCTTCTGCAGGAACAAGTGACCAAAGACCATGTGTTCTGGTGAGCACCCTCTCCTCCTCCTGCGATCCTTGCCCCAGGGTGCCCCAGAGGACTGGTGTCTTCAGCAGGGTGGCGCTGGGAATCCTCAGGGATCCAGGGCTGGACACCCTCAGACCTGGGGCTACACAGCCTCGAGAGCCCCTCCCTGGGCCTCTGTTTCCCTCTGGGGGAAGGAGGTATGGTGTGCATTGGCTGTGGGCACAGAGCCTGCAGGAGTGTGCCCTCTGCCCCAAGGCAGCCTCAGTCCTGCCCCCACAGGGCCTGGGCTTCCCCTCACCGGCGAACCCCTGTTCAGCCTTGCTGGGGCCAGAGAGGTGGTGCTTGACTGGGAAAGGGTTTGCTGGAGGCCTGAGAAAGCTCCCTGGGGGACAGGCACTGGCCCATGGTCCCACGCAGCAGAGAGGGAGCTGGAGCCCAGGCAAGGGGGGCAGAGCCCCCACCCATCCCCGGGCGTGGCCGTGGCCTGCTCTTTGACCCAACACCCTTTGGAGATGTGCAGTCTCCTGATGTTCCTCCCATGCATCACTTTTCCTTGTGCACACATATGTACACACATGCCCCCACATGCACATACATGCTGTCACGTCTGTGCTCTGTCTCAGCTCCTGTGCACCCTACACTGCCACACTCCGTCCTGGCCACAGACCTGTCCCAGTGGAGAAGCACAATGGAAACAGCCCCTGCCCTCCTCCCTCTCCATCCGTCACTGTATGCGAAATGGAAAACACTGGCTTCTTGCTTTGTCCCAGGGACGGAGGAAAACCTTTGTCAGCTCGCCCTGGGAGCTGGAACAAAATACCCAGCGCCCACAGTTTAAAGAAAGAGAGGGTTACTTGGCTTATGGTTTCGGAGGGTTCAGTCCGTAGTGGGCTGACTCCAAGGCAGAAGCAGCATGGTGGAAGGGCCTGGGTGGAGGAAATCTACTCGCATCATGGCAGCTAGGAAGCAAAGAGGGAGGGACAGGGGACAAGAACACACCCTTCCAGATCACACACCAGTGACTACCTCTAACCAAGGCTCCGGCCCTATGGCACCTTCAATTATCAGCTCATCCATGTATGAAACCGCTGATGAAGACCCCACCCCATGATCTAGCCAGCTCCCAAAGCCCCACCTCTGAAACACATGAGATGTTTGAGGAGCTCCAACTCTACACCATGGCATCTCTCCTCTGGGTACTGACTTCTGGCTTCTGTGGCCCCTGCTCCCAAGGAGAAGTGATAGTTGTCTGTCCCTGGCTGTCCATGGGAGCGCCCAGGTCCTTCCTTGGGCCAGAGTGTCACCATCCGTCAGTGGCTTTGTCACAACTGTTAAGAGTGGGAAAAGCCAAGTGAGGAGGTGGAGACCCGGAAGTGGAGACCAGGGCCAGGAAGTGGCCTGGGGCCCAGGGAACAAAGTCCCGCGGTGCTGCAACAGTGCCAGGCCAGGCCACAGGACATCCCGGCTCCGCTTGCCTCACAGAAACTGCTCTGGTTAGACGGAGAAGCCAGCGCACCAACGCCGCAAGGGAAATTGGCAATAATTCAAACATGCTATTATCTCCAGCAAATCAAATAATTTCTTCCCCCAAGTTTCCCCAAGCGCTCAAGTTGTTATGCGTGAGAGGTAATCGTACTGCGCTTGGCCGCTCGGCCGCAGGATCTGCCTGGAACGTGGTGACAGCCGGTGATGGGGCCCCATGGCACGCGGTGAACGCTGCTGTTTTGACAGCTTTCCCGAGGCGCTCTTTGTCCTTGGACTGACAGAGGGAATTGCCAGGGCCCCGCTGGGTCTCAAGCCAGACTCGTTAAGCAGCGCAGCAGGCAAGCTCATTAGGGCACCTCGCAGAGCGCCCGTACCTGTCGCCTTCAGCACCCTCGCCCTCCCGCTGCCCCTTGCAGCCCCATATGAAGTCCCGATAGCCATCTGCTTGCACGCTGACCACCCACAGGCGCTGGCCGTGGGGCAGGCCTCTCTGGAATCACACAGCGGCCTCGTTGTCTTCCCGTCCTGCGGCGGTGGAACAGAGGCTCAGGGAGGCAGAACACTCAGCCCCAGCTGTGCTGCCCCCACGCAGCAGCCCTGGCCGGGCCCCCACCTGACTGGACGGAAGGAGGCTCCGTCTGCGGGAGGAGGAAGTGGAGTAGGGGGCGGTTGTCCCCGCAGTTTGGGCCGCGGCACCCTGAGGGCCCCCAGGGCCCTGTGCATCAAAAGCAGGAGTCACTGTTGCATTCCTGGGCGTCCCTCTCTCAGGGCCACAGGCGCCCCTCCTCTCCTGTGGTCCTGTTTTAAGCCAGGTCCCAGGGGTTGGGACCTCAGCAGACTCGGAAGCCTCCGACCAGGGTTGGTTTCCTGCAGCGGTCTGGGCCCTGGGCTGCTATAGGCAAGTTGCGTGTGGTCCTCAGATACCAACGACCAAGGGTCTCATGGCCACTGTGCGTGAGTGAGTGTGTGAGTGAATGAGCGAATGAATGAATGAATGAGTGAGCAGATGAGTGAGTGAATGAGCAAGTGAGCTAATGGATGAGTGGGTGAGTGAGTGAGTGGATGAGTGGCTGATGGGTGAGTGAACGAGTGAGTGAAGAGTGAGGAGGGGCCTGTGATGGGCCAGGTGTCAGCTCCCCAGTAGCAGAGCACGACCGCAGCCCAGCCCTACGTGCCCATGGAGTCTGACCCTGGGTGCTGTGCTGGCCGTGTGCATCCTCTGCGGAAGGGGCAGCATGGACAGGAAGCCCTGCAGGAGCTCACAGAGCCAAGCTGCTGGCTCCCAGAGCTGGAATCCATGCCCACCATGGAAGTGGAGCTCCCCTGCCCGGGGCTGGGATGGTGGGCACTGGTGCCCCGGTCTCTGATACCCGTGAACTCCAAGGCACCCCTTGGGCTGCCCACTCCACCACACCCGCATTTCCACTGGGGCCCTTTGGTACCTAGAGGGGCGGAGCAGGTGGGTCTGGCTCCAGGCAAGGTGGGGACCAAAGGGACTAGCTCAGTCCCCGTGGGGCTGTCAGCCATGGGATGGCGAAGCTCCTATCCACGGTGCCACGTGACCAGTGACAGCAGCAAAGAGGCTCAGCCTGTTCCGGGGCAGGGGCCCTCAGAGGCTGGGTCTGGCCAGTGGCTGACGAATGTCATGTGACGCTGGTGGGGACACAAGATGGCAAGTGGGACTGGCTTCTAAAACTTGTGACTTCTGGAGCATCTTGGCCAGCAGGAGGCTGAGGCACCTGGCAGGCAGGTGGCGTCCAGTTACATGTGGTCCAGGAAAGTCTGGGCAGGAAATCACAAGGCGTCAGGACGGCCACCCAGCTCCCACAGCCCACACACACCTCCAAGGCCGTCCCCAAACCCAAGGACTGGAGGGGGCTCTGGCAGAGAGGGCGTGCCAGGTCCCAGTGGGAGTGTTCTGGCAGGAGCCACCACCCCGCTGGGTAGCATCCACCTCTGTCCTGTGAACAAGGCCATGCATGCGGCCAGGTGGACCTAGGAGAGCTTTGGGCACACTGCAGCACCCCCTGGTTTCCAGCGGGGTGAGGTACACACAGCACCCGCCTACCCTGAACCATCCAACCCAGGCATGGGCAGAGCCTGCTTCAAACTGTCGGGGTAGAGATGGGGGTGTGCAGTGTCAGCAGAGCCTTCACCTCGCTGAGGGGCTGGGCGACTGCAGGGGGCACCCGTGGGGAGGGGTCGGTGACAGTGCAGATCCCTCATGGGTGCCCTGGGATGGCTGGGTGACCAGCAGTCGCCCCAAGGTAAAGGGGATGGGCGACGGCTCAGATTGGGCCCAGCTGGAAGCCGGGACCCGGTGGGCTGCGCAGCCTTGGGCGGTCGCTTTGCTCCTCTGGGCTCCTCTACAATGTTTGGGTGGTGCCCGGGCTACCCGCCTCCAGAGACGAATAGGAAGTAACTGCCCACCCCGGGCTCCAGGAGGCTGTGTCCTTGGGCCCCATGGAGCAAAAGTGGCTCAGACCCCAACCTCCGGAGCCCTGGGGATCGGGGGGACCTGCTATGCAAGGCCTCGGCAACCTGCTGCCCACCCCAACCTTGGCTTCTCTTCCAGGGCGGTGTCTGGGGTGGACGCTGACCCTGACTTGGTCCACATGGAGGCCCAGGACCTCAGTGGAGGTAAGTGGGGGGCGCAGGTGTCCCCGCATGTCCTGGCCCCCGCTGTGGCTCTGCCATGCCCTTGATCCCCCTCTTGTCCTCGGCGCTGGCCCGGCACGGTGACCTTGCTGTGTTATGATGTGGCATAATTTTAAATGTGCTTGTTTCCCACTGGGGATAAATTCAAGTCAAGGAGCTCCACTCCAGTGGAAAACTCTATTAAGAGGGCAATTTGTTCCGGACCCTGAGCACGAGTGTCTCCCGCCCACCAGGCCCTGAAGGGCTGCCAAGCGCTGAGGCAGCGTGGGGGCTCCTGGCTTCCCCTCAGGAGGCAGGGGCTGCATGCGTGTGACGGAGAAGGCTCTCTGTGGCCTGTGGAGGGGCATGGGACGCTCTGGAGCCATAGGAGGTTCTGGAGCATCCAAATTAGAGGACTACAGATTAAACCTCCATCCTGAAAAATTCTGGGAGGGCCGTCTAGGCAGAGCCCAGCGTAGGGCACAGAGAGGATCAGGAGGGAGCCCTGGCCCTGATGGTACAGATGCAGCCGCGGGACCCACTGTGCTGTGCGGGGCCTCAGTGAGATCCAGGGTGAGTGCCTTGGTTTTGCCCCCTGTAAAGTGGGCAGAAGAAACCGAGCCTGCCAGGTGTCATCGCGGCTCCCATCTTGGTAACCAGGAGAGTGGAGCTCGGAGAGGGCCTGGGGCCTGGACCACGTGGTCTCAGGACAGCCAGCCCTGCCCCCTGCGCACCTTGTCCACCTCCAGAGCTGCCACCAGAGCCAAACGTCCCCGACTCCCGAGGGCAGCTCATGGCACTGGACAGCAGTGGGTGGCGGTGGCCGTGCCATCCTGGCCAGCACCGGGAGGAAGAGGGTGTGAGCCCCCGCTGAGGGAGCCCAGCTGCCCCGTCCTGGGGAGGGAGGGTTGGGGCGCATGGTGGGGAATGTCTCCAGCTCCCACAAGCAAAACGACCCCTTGTGATGGCCAGAGGGGCTCCCCGCCCTCCTCACCCTGGGGGCCTGCCGGCCTCCTCTCCGCCTGCTCGCAGCCTTCTGCCTGGCCTGATAACACTGCAGATGCCTTCCACCTGCCTCTGTCTGTCTGTCCAGCCACAGCGAGCGGGGACAGTGGCACCCTGGTGGGGTGGGAAGCAGGGATGGCCAGATGGGCGGCGGAGGGAAGCCTGCGTGAGAGTGAGTGGGGATGCGTGGTCAGAGGACCCGTGAGCCGGTGAACGGGCGAGTGACTGCCTGTGCCTGACAGTCCGAACCGGCTCTGAGCTCTCTCTGCCCAGGCCAAACCTCCTTGGGAAACAAGGTGCCCCTGGCCCGGGGGCTGTGCAAGGCCGCTGGGAGGGAAGGGGGGCGTGGCGGGGGACTTGACGGTGGCCCGGCCCCTGCACCTGCTCCCGCCCTGTACCCCGTGTCTGAGCTGTCCCGCTGTGGGGTGGTGAAAAGGTGCGCAGTCCACAGAGGACCCAGGCTGAGCACTGCGGTGGAGGCGTGTGTGGCTTGGGGACTGGGGACCCACTCCCCCGCCTGAGCCCTGGGCCCCCACACACCCCCCTGCACGGCGCTGCCTCTGGGCCTGCGGCCGCGTCCCTGGTCCCTGTGCCGGGCTGTGGACCCAGCGCAGGCTTCTCCGGGCTCCGCGAGGTCCCTGCTTTGGCTGCTGAGGAGCTCCAGGCTTGGGCTCCTCATAAACTCAGCGTAGCACCCAGAGCAGCCAGCAGGGGCCTAGCACAGCAGGTGCTGTATTTGCTGGACCATAAATGTGAGAAAAGGAGACAAGAACACAGGCCACCTGCTCGGGGGCACCCGCCTGTGCCCACTTTGGGCAGGAGCCTGCAGAGGGCAGGCCGTGTGGGTGGGGCTCTGTGAAGTGCCTGCTGTCACCCTGCCCCTTCCTTCTGGGACGAGCGCTGGTCCCCAGCGTGCTGCCACCTCCCTGGGGGTTCAAAGGCTGCTCCCCGGCGTCTCCCACCCGTAGGCAGGCGGCTGGTGTCACTGGGAGCCAGGCCTCTTATATCCAAACCCACAAACCAACCCCAGGGCAGGGTGCGGAGGACCTGGGACTCGGTAGCCCCGGCGGCTCCCTGCCACCGTCCTCCAGGGCGAGACCGGTGCTGCCATCCCACACCGTGTGGCCGCCGCTGTCTCCGCAGGCCTTCGCTATGTCACCTGCCAGATCCACAACTGCTCCGACAGGACGCTCGCGGCCCCGTTCCCCGGCCCCATTGACCACGGCTCCCTGACCGTGCAGGACAACTATGTCTTCCTCAAGGTGAGCTTGCGATGGCGACGTGGCGTCCGAGCCTCCAGGGAAATAGAGGCATTGGGGAGAGGATCGATAAAATGGCTACTTTATCTTCAAGTGCCACTTGGCTGGTCGAGGCTGCCTGCCCTCACGTGCAGCAGCTGCAGGCTCCCCTGGGGCCCCAGGTACCAGAACGCCACCAGGGACGCCTCTGGCTGCCTGGGAACGCCCCACCCTAGGGCCCACCCAAACCCTTTCCCCCTCTGTGATTCCCTGGTGATGCTGGGACCCATCAGGGCTGTCTCTGGTCAGTGCCCTGAGCTGCCACCACAACCCAGTGACCAGTGACAGACCCTGCTCCCAGGTCCCAGAGCCCTCAGGACCATGGGTTCCACCTTAGCGGTACTGCATGGAGCCAGTTCAGAAATCCCGATCATCCCCCCCGTGAGGAGTTTAGCCCCATGTCCCGGGTCAGAGGCCCTCGGACTCCGCAGCCTCCTCTGTGCCCTGTGCCCGGGGCTGCCCTGGAGGTAGGGTGGAACTGGAGGGGATCACAGCCCCACAGGAGCTCCCCCACCCCGCCTCCCAACCCCCAACGCCTCTGCTCCTCCCTCCCGGCCAGCCTTGCTCCTCCAGGCCGCCCTCCCCTCCCCTGGGACCATGCGCCCTCTCAGGGCACAGCTGGGCACCCCCTCATGCTGCTCCTCTGTTCCGGCGCCAGGCTCCGTGCCCCAGGTGCACACACTGCCCGTGTGGGTTACAGACCCTGTGACCACCTGTCCTGTCCACAGCCCCTCAGCCCAGGGTGCTGGGAGCAGCTGGCTGTGTTGCTGGGCTCCTGGGCTTGTGAGCCTGGTCACGGGGTGAGGAAAGCATGCTGTTGGGGGGTGGGGTGGTTAGCAGGCCGGTGTGGCCCTGGGAGCGGCACTGGGACTCGGTCACCGGATGTGCTAGTCCCGTGGAGGAGGGACGGGGTGGGCAGTGACACGGGGCAGATGGCAGAGGCCAGGGCGGGGTCTGGGTGAGTGTGGGTTTGGAGAGTGACTGTGACCTTCTCTGAAACTGATGTTTGGTGACACCGCCTGGGTTGGGCAGGGGGAGCCCCCTGGGAGGCCATCAGCAGTCCCAGCACCCCAAGGTCCGCTGGCGGGGCCTGCCCTGCAGAGCCACTGTGCAGAGCCACCCCTCCTTGTCCGAGCCTGGCAGGTGCTGGCCACATGGTGCTCGATGGCTCCTGTCTCGTTTTTCATGCCGAGGGGTCTGGCGGCCACTTTGGGTGCCTGGGACACAGCAGCGGCTGTCTTCCTCCCCAACTCGGTGTGGAACAAGCTACCCTTTTTAAGAGAAGTTCCGGGAAATGGAACTTTCTCCCCCTTGTTCCATAGCTCAGATGTAGAGAAACAAGGTGTTGGGGGAGCATGGGGAAAGAGGTTAGTTCTAGCTTCCCAGAGAAGGGACATTTGGTGTGGGGGTTTGAAGGATAAATAAGAGTCTGTCCATTTTGGGTGGAACGAGTACAAGCAAAGTAAAAGGGCATTTTCATCAGCTGAATATAATGTATAGTTTTTGTTCATGAGAATCTGGCTTGACAAGAAAGCAATCCCCTTAAAAATGTTTCTGTCCTCCTGCTAGACAACCTCAACAAACCGGACCAAATACTACGTCTCTTATCGTCGCAGTGATTTCGTCCTGATGAAGCTGCCCAAGTACGCACTGCCAAAGGTGAGAGTGTCCCCACCCCTGCCCTGGGTCCCATCCGAGGCTGCCTTGCCTTGCGGGTGGTCAACGCAGGGTCACAGGTGCCCGGGCCGCAGGTCAAGGTAGCTGGAAACACCTGAGACTGCACTACCTGCAGCCACTCTGTCCCCGAAGCCTCTGCCTGGGTTCTCGGAGTCCTAAACAAAGGACGGAGCAGGACCGAGTGCAACAGCGTCGATGATCTCTTTGACAGGACCCAATCCTGGTGGGCATGGCCAGGGAGGGGAGCTCACGCCCGATGAGCTCGATGCTGAGGGTTTCACACCTCCAAATTTGGGGTGCAGTTGAAGGTTTGGTCTGAGCTCATCAGCGGGCTGATGAGCGGCTCTGAGATCCCTGCTCCCTTCTCCTTCCCCAAGCCCAGGGTCTGGGGGATCTCCACCTCTGAATCTCTCTCCATGTCTCCTCTGCCACGGGGCAGGGGCTCTGCTCCGATCACCTCTGTATCCAGCCGCCTGGCACGTGGCAGCCTCTCAGGCACCCTTGCGTCCTTCCTGTGGAGGGCGAGAAGAGCCAGCTCCTGACCCCTGTCCTTTCATGTTCCCGGGTTACGGAGGCAGTGGCCAGGCTCAGGGATGCCGAGTGGCCAGGCAGGAATCAGAGCTGAGAGCAGGCCCCAGGCTGGCCATGCCGTCGCCCCAGGGCGTGGCAGGCCTCTGTGCCAGGCCCCGTTTGGAGTCAGCCTGAGCCCCAGACTCCACAGATCCCGAGAGGAGCAGGGCCGGGAGAGCAGCAGCCCGAGCAGACTCTGGCTTCCCACTGTGGGGCTCAGCCGGGCACTGGACCGAGAGCAGGGAGCTGGACCTGTGCGTGAAGTCCTCACCAGTCGTGATCTGCATACGGGCAGAGATGGGGAGTGATGGAGGATTTGTGTGAATGCATCATGTGTACGTGTTACACGTGTGTGCACATGTGTGTGTGTCTACAGCTGATTTAGGGCAGGCACCCAGGGAAGGCCTCTCTGGGCACCTTGCCCAGGCTGGGAAGAGAAAGTGTGGGAAGACCAAGGAGGAAGCCAGGGCAAAGGCAGTGCTGAGCAAAAGCCCTGGGGCAGAGAGCTGGGGAGGGTGGGGCAGGGGGCCACAGGCCTGCTAGCTGGGGGTGCAGATCGTAACAACGTGGGGCTCCAGAGCTACTGCCAGGGTGGAGACCTCTGCTGAGCTGGAGATAGGGAAAGTCCGTGAGCCCCTTGCTAAACATCTCTTTGGAAAATAAAGGAAAAAATGGGAGGGAAGGAGCAGGTTTAACAGATGAACTCCAGGCGGGGTTTCAGAAGCAGGTTAAAAGCCCACAGTTTCATTTCAGGTAGTGGCACTGGGTGTCCTGGGGGCCAGGGACGTCAGTCCTCATGTCAAAGGCTGTCCCTAGAAGGAGCAGACCCACCCTGCACCCGCACTCCACTGCCCGCTGTCCCTACTGGCACTCAGGCTATTCCCCAGGGAGTTCTGAGAAGCAGTGGCTGAGGTCACAACCCCGTGACCTTGAGCCGGGCTGCGTCCTTGGAGCCCGAGGACACCACACCGAGACTCTGCCAGCTGAGAGGTCCGCGTTTCCCGTCCGCACACGCAGCGCAGGCTAATTGAATTTCCTAATCAGATTTGGTTGTTTTATGGTGAATTTGTAGCTCCTGCCTATTTCCTCCCCACAAACCACCCTGTCTTTTTTCCTTTGGCTTTCTTAGTTTACTAGAACTGGACCACATCTGTAGACCTGAGTGACCGTGGTAGCAGGGGCCTCGCCCCCAAGGCCCGCTCCTACCCTAGCCTCGGCCCTGGCCACCGCCTGCCCATGCCACTGTAGGTCGCCGAGGTCTAAGCAGGCACCCCTGTGTCACAGGGAATCCTCTAGAAGGGCCTGAGAGCTCCCATCACTGACCACAGAGCTTCCCTGGGCAGCGGGACGAGAGAGCTGCAGAGGCAGGCTCAGCTCAGGCCCCGGGGTTGTTCCGCATTCCCGCCCTTGGGACCGGGCAGCCTGGGTATATCTGTGCCTTTGGGTGTTGCTTCCCAAGCTGAAGTCCCAGAACACTCTGGACAAAGGACATGGATCCGCGTGCAGCTCTGTGGTTCCCTGCAAGTCGGGTGGACCGGCTCTGACCTGGCCTGGCCAAGCTCTGTGTTTTATCTTGTTTCCCATTTCCTTCTGCAGCAAACCGTGCAAATGACTCTGCCCTGCTGTCCTAATCCACCCTTCTGTAACGGCTGTAAAGAGCATGCAGCTTTTATGTGTCCAGACCCTTTGCTTGACTTGTTCACTTGCGATGGTTTTTTTTTTTTTAAATACAAAAAATTCCAGCTTCTCTAATAGAGAAAAGAGTTTCCAAAGCTATAAAAAAGGAGGAGGAAAATCCAAGTAACTATGAGTCATATGAAAAGCATCCATGAGAACAAGATAAGTGCAATTCTGCTTTAAAGTAAAATATTCTTGTGTTTGTCATAAATTTATTCAAAGTACAAATAAAATCCGTACCACGTAGGAAGGGAGGAGGGCAGGAGGCCTGGGGAGAGGACGGCGCAGGGAGCCCAGAGCGAGCGTCCCAGCCCCTCTGCAGCCCTGCTCTGTCCTGAGGCCTGCACTGCCACTTCCACCTCCGGCTAGGCGGGGACGGGGTAGCAGAGCGCATTTGCAGGACTTCAGCTCTTAGCTTGGAGCTACCTGCCCCCTCCTCGCCTCATGGCAGGCGAATGTCTGGGGTTCCTGCTACCATTTGCACAGTTGGTACAGCTGGGGTAGGCGCCAAGACCTCATCCGCAGGCTGACTGGCAGAGCCACTGCCATCTGAAGCTCGTTCCAGAGGGTTTCAAGGGCTGTGGTCTGTCCCCTCCCTTTTAGCCCCTGTTTCCCCTTTTGGACGCAGGATACTTAAAGATGAAGGTATTCAAAAATAGCCACATGTTCAAGGGGGATTCAGAAAGTCACTGTGCCTCCCCCGGGGAGAGACTAAGAAAAGTTTATTTCCTTTCTTTAAAAAAATTGAAGAAGATAGGAGATGGATTTTATGAAAAAATTCCCTAGATTTTATAACTGTCTGCTCAGGAAGGATATTTATTTATTTATTTAGCAGGGTTAGGATTGAACCCAGGGCCTTCACACTGAGCTACACCCCCAGACATTTGTGTATTTTGAGACAGGGTGTCCCTAAGTTGCTATGTTGGCTGGGATGGGCCCAAACTTGAGGTCCTCCTGCCTCAGCCTCCCGAAGTGCTGGGATTACAGATATGTGTCATGATGCCTGGCTCTGATCAGCAAGGATATTAAAGAGCCCATCTCAATCATGGGAAATGTAAAGAAAAGCAGCCCTAACTCTGGTGGTGGGGAAGACTTAATAACAACTTTCAAGATAGCAACGTAACATCAGGCAAGAAGCACTTTAAAAATGTTCCTGATCTCCAATAAGGCAGATTCCCTTGTTAGAGTGCGTGTGCAGGAAATAACAAAGGGGCAGGGATCTCTGTCCGGGAACTAGCTCGAAGGAATGGGGGGCAGGCTGAAGGGTTACCAGCAGGGAAACTCTTCCGTGAAACGCAGCAAGGCACAAACATCTCGGTAGGCGGCCAATAAAGCGGTGCTGATAAATACTTTTCATGGCTGAGGAAAACGCTGGCCGTATAATGCGAACGGGCAGGCTCGGACCCCGCCAGGCAAAAGAGCTGAGTCGCACTTGGGACAAAGCCTGAATGTGCACAGCCTTAAAGGTGAACGTCGGGGCTCTCTGGAGGCCCTGCAGACGTCTGTTCCGGGTCCCCCATCCCAGAAGCATTGCCTGGTGCAGAGCCCAGGTTGTGCACTCGTTCGCCAGGTGTGCCCGGGCGGAGGTGAGCCCTGCCTGCACTGGGCACGTGGAGACTTGCGGAGCGCTGGCTGCCCCACAGGTGCAAAGCGGTGTCATTTCTTACCCCGGGCCCTCTGTCCCATGCTGAGGCCTGCTCAGGGCTGAGACCAGCACAACACAGGGGCCCGGGGCTCTGAGTCGGGGTGGGAGAGGAGGTGGCAGGCAGGAGCAGCGGCTCCCACTACCCCACCGTCCCCCTCCTCGACAGGAGCCCCGGGCCCTGCAGCCCTCCGCTCCTCAGGCCATCCTGCCCTAAGCCGGGTACCCTGGGGTCCCGGTCTGCAGGGTGCAAGGTTGGTGCTTCGCAGGGTCCCATTCCTTTCCCAGAAAGCCCCTTGGGACCACTGAGCTGAGCTCAGGCAGGGGCTGCCTCACCCACTTGTTCCCAGAAGGGGAAACTGAGGCTGGGAACCCGCCCTGGGTGGCTCCTTTCCTGCCCTTCACCTCCGAAGCTCGCCTCCTCTGGGAAGCCCTCCCCGACCAGTGTGGCCAGGGCCCGCGTGCGACAGCCCTCAGCAGCTCGTGGGGCAGGGCACTGGGGACATCTCCGGCGTGAAGCCTGAGGAGTCAACCTCATAGAGCGCCTCGCTGTGGCCGTGCACTCCCAGGCGTGGGGCTGGTGTTGGCTCTGCGCCCTGTGAGCAGGACAGTGCCCGGCATGCAGCAGGTGCTTGATAAACAGGTGCTGAAGGAACCCACTAGCTCAGGTGGCCCTGGGGATGGGGTGAGCCAGCCCCAACCACCAGTCCCCTGATCAAGGGGGAGCTTGGAGGGGCTCCTGGGTCCCAGCCAGGGCAGAGGAGATTGCCTGGGGTGGGGGTGTCTCCTTGGGCCATGTTAGAGGTGCGCACGTGGAGGCTCAGGGAGCAGCTCTCCCCACCCACGATCGCCAAGCGGATTTGGGGAGTCAGTGCGATTTTAATCAGAGAGCAAAGGGGGCCCCACACCACCAGCCGTCCTGACGCCACCCCATGTCCCCAGGACCTGCAGGTGATCAGCACGGATGAGAACCAGGTGTTCGTGGCGGTGCAGGAGTGGTACCAGACAGACACCTACAACCTGTACCAGTCAGACCCGCGCGGCGTGCGCTACGCGCTGGTGCTGGAGGACGTGCGCAGCTCGCGGCAGGCCGAGGAGAGCGTGGTCATCGACATTCTCGAGGTGGGCCCTGCACGTGCCCCCTGCCTGGCCCTGTCCTGAGCTCTGACCTCCCTGCTGTCTGTCCCTGTAAACCACATGAGCTTGGGAAACACGCTCAGAGCGGGAAGAAGGCTAATCCAGAGAGGGGAGCCAGAGGCCCTTTGCAGGCGGCCCTCCCTGGTCCTGCAGGCTGTCCTGAGTGCCACCAAGCAGGGCCTTCCAAGTCCTGGCTGCTGCCTGAGGGGTGCAGTGACGGAGGGTGAGGCACACAGACTGCTCTGTCCGCAGGGATGTGTGACACGATGTCACAGCGCACACAGGGACACACACAGGCCACCTCCCCTCCATGGAGGGCAGACCCCTCGGCGGCAGCTCTGAGTCAGTGTGAGGCACCCGGGTACACAGCCCGGGGGAGCCAGGGAGGGCTTCCCAGCAGCGGCTGCAAACCCGAGTGACAGCCAAGCAGAGGTGGCCAGGCAGGCAGCCAGCGAGGGGCACAGGGGCCACCAGCAACTGCGAGGGAGGCTGTAGGAAGTCCATGCGGCTGGGGCGGCTGGGGCAGGCTGCCCCCCGGCTGTGCCCTCAGCAGGGTTTGGCCTCTCTGAACTGCACCTAACAAGGACCTTGGTGGTGACAAGTGCAACTCTGGACTTCACTCACCGGGGTTCCTCTCCAAGCTCCGGTGTCCTTGCTGTGTGTCCCTAGGCAGGTTAGTAACCTCTCTGTGCAGCGCCTGCCTCTTGGAGCTGCTGTGAGGACTCAAGGGCCTCACCTGGCCTGCACACAGACCAGCGTCTGTGGCCCCAGGGTTTTCACGGCGCTTGCCTGCCTGAGACTAGGGATTCCCATAGCAAGGGCGGGTGTGGCAGCTACACGTGGCACGTGGGGTCCAGGGCACGTGGCCGGTACTGTGACAGTCACGGTGACTGTGCTCAGCGCAGATCAGGAAAGATGTTCTGTGGCAGATGTCGCTGGAGAGCACCACCTCGGAAGGCTGGCTGTGAAGCCCCTGCCGGGCTGGGTACCACAGGTTCGAGGTCCCGTCTGTGCTGGAGCTTGGCTTAGGAAGGGCACTCAGGGGCGTCACAGTCTTGTCCCGTGCCCTGAGCAGCTGTGGCCACAGCTGGGAGACAGCTGTGAAAGGGGTTTGAATGGTGGCCTCCGAAAGAGATGTCCCCATCCTCACCTGGATGTTGCCAAGTGACCCCCCCCGCCCATGTTTGCAACTGTAGTCAAGGAGCAGACTCAGCAGGGATCATCCCGACTCCCCCAGGTATCCCCAGCGCGGAGCTCAGGGTCCTGATAGGACGCGGAAGAGGAAGCCTTGGGTCCAGGGGGGCCGGGGCCCTGCAGCCACAGGCTGGGACCACCAGGGACCGCCAGGCTCTGGAAGAGGGTCTGCTTCAGGCTGCCCAGTCTGTGGGACCCACATAGGGGACACTTGGCCCTAGGGAGACGTCTGGGCCCAGCGTGATCTCAGGGTCTGGGGAGTGGAAGGAGGCAGAGAAAGGATCGGGGAGGTGTGGACAGGGAAGTCGGGGTAGGGACTCTCCCCAGAGCCTCCAGAGGGACCGGCCTATAACTCCGAGGTCTTTGCTGTGGGAACATGCTGGGCTCCCACAGAGCTCCAGGAAGACAGACTCATGCTGTTTAGGCCGCTGGGCTCCTGACGAGTTGAATTGTTCTAGCAGCTGTAGTGTGGGCACTCGGAAGGAAGGGGCTGCTATAACATTCTGTACAGGTGCAGTTGACTTTAAAATTGGCAGAGGCTGAAAAACCCCAGATTTCTTTGGATGGATTCTTAGAAAAATGGGCCTGAAATTCAGCGCTGGAGGGGCGCAGAAGCTTGCTGCTGGGAAAGCGGGGTCCTGGCCAGAGAGGGGGAGACAAACGCCCCACGGTTATCTGCAGAGCAGAGCTCACGTGCGGTGGACCCGGAGGTGCACCTGGTGTGGCCTGGATTCTGCAGTAAACTGGGCCGGGGGAGACATGGGGAAGAACTGTTCAGGAGGAACCCGGGCTCACCCATGAGGGGCACTAGTCCCCCTAGGCCCTCGGGGAGGCACAGCAGGGAGACTCACGTCAGAAAAGGGGGGCTGGAGGAAGGGCACAAGGTATGCCGGTCACGTTCAGGAGACACCGCAGAAAGGTCTGAACCCCTAATCACCTGGAAGCCTCCTAGAAGTAACTGGGCACGTGATTTCCCCCTGGTGACTGCAGCAGAAGCCACAAAGTAGAGATAGGGTCACCTGGGGCGGGTGGGGGAGAGGCTGTGTCACATCAAGGACATCCGCCGAGCATTTGAGGATGTGATGGTGGAAGAAGCCCACCGGTTTGGGGCACAGGGGACCAAGGCTGTCAGACCCGCCAGTGTATAGGCCGGAAGCAGCTGCTGCTGCTGCTGGGACACTGGGGATGTCTCTAACAATTACCTAGAGCCTGTTCCACCCTTGCACTGTGGAAGCAGGTCTTCTAGAGTCAGGGGGGCACCGCTGGCTTATACCTGGAGCTCCCTCACTTGGCTTAGCAGAGGAGATTTGGAACTCTTAGCCTGATGGGAAGTTCTGATGGGACGTTTTTGACTTTGAATGAATGCTGTCATGGGGTGAGACCTTCCGGGACCCGGGGGTGGGCTACAGGTATTTGCATGAAGGACTCATGTGCAGCTTTGGAGGTCCGAGGGTGCACTGTCTGGGTTGAATATTGCCCCCAAGGTATCCACTTCCTGATGCTCAGAAGTGGTGTGTGTGACACATGACACACAGAGGGGAAGGGTGGCTGCAGATAGAATCGAGGCCAGCAGTTACCAGGTGAGAAAGTCACGGATTTTCTAAATGGGCCGACAGGGTCACCAAGGTCCTCCAGAGTGGGAGAGGGAGGCAGAAGAGGGTCAGAAAAAAAGCTGTGACAGCAGAGAGAACCAGTGTTGCTGGTTTGGGAGAGGAAGGAGGAGGTCTGGGAGCCAGAGGACAGGGGCAGCCCCCACAAGCTGGCAGAAGTGATGACATGGTCCTCCCTGGAGCCTCCAAAGAGGAGCACACTCCCTTCCTCCAGAGCTGAGACCTGCTGACATCCAAAACTATAAAACAGTGCATGTGTGGTGTTGACCACTGAATCTGTGATAACTTGGAACAGTAACAACAGGAAAGAAATACACCATCCATCTATCTATCCGTCCATTCATCCACCCACCCATCTATTCATCTGTCAATCCACCCGTCCATCCCTCTATACATTTGTCCATCCATCCATCCATCCATCCATCCACCCATCCATCCCTCTATCCATCCATCCATCTCTCTATCCATCCATCCATCCACCCATCTATTCATCCATCCATCTATCTATTCATCTATCCATCCATCCATCTGTCTGTCCATCCATCCATCCCTTCATCTATCAACTCACCTGTCTATCCATACATGTGCTCATCCATCTACCCACCCATATGTCCATCTATCCATCCATCTGCTCATTCATTTGTCTGACAATCCACCCATCATTCGTCTATCTGCCATGTATCCATCCATTCATCTACCCATCTTTTCATCTATCCATCCATCTGTTCATCTGCCCATCTACAATGACACTACTAATGGCAGTGTTCTACCCATGAGCCATGCATTTGCATACCTGCACGTGGAACATGGGAAGTCCACCAGCCTCCTGGCGTTGTGAGACACATCCAAGATGCCACACACTAAGCCTGGTGCCTGCAGTCATGACCTCTGGCTAGAGGACTCTGCGTAAATCACAGAAGCCTCGGGGCCTCAGTTTCCTGAAGCACTTTTGAGAAACAATAGCACATGGTGTACGGAGGAGCAGAGGCAGCCTCTGCCCTCCAACTGTGGAGAAACCAGGGCTTCCTGAGCCTGGTCCCGCCATGCATATGTGTCTCACTAAATGTGGGTCTACATCGTCCATGCAATAAGGACTTGCTGAGGAGCTCGTCTTGGGACCATCAGGGTTTCCCAGATGGAGTTGTTTGTCTTTGCAAATGCCCTGGACATGTGGGTCACCTCTATGAGCTTAGTAGGATCCCAGGGAGATGGAGCAGCAGAGGGGGATGGAGCTGTGCATGGAGCAGACCTGCTCCCTGGATCAGGAGACTGAGCTACGCATGTCGCTGGGGCAGGCCTGGAAGCCATGACACTGGTCCAGGGCTAGGGGGTAGGGGTGTCTTCTAGTGGGGTGTGGGGTTAGAACAGTATGGCCCCGAGGCACAGGAACTCAGGGGACCAGGGCTGTCCTCACCATGCGTGACCAGAGGTCCTGGCAACGGCTTGGTGTCTCAGGAATGGTACATGTGGAGCCCTGGGAGCTCCCCGGAGAGCCCCAGGAGCAGCTCACGGTCCTTCTGTGCTCTGTCCCAGGTCAGAGGGGTGAAAGGGGTCTTTCTGGCGAACCGGAAGGTTGATGGGAAGGTGATGACACTCATCACCTACAACAAGGGCCGTGACTGGGACTTCCTGAGTCCGCCCAGCAGTGACATGAACGGGAAGCCGACCAACTGCCAGCCGGTGAGTACTCCCCAGCTGACCCGGCTGCGTGTACACGGCACGGGTGGGGGTGTGGAAAGGGTGTGTGGCCAGCACAGCTACAAAGCTCTGGGATAAAGGACGCAGGCCTTCAGGCCCAGCTGGCAGCCCTGCTGTCTTGGGCCGGCCTGTCTGCCTGTGTGGAGTCACTGCCCAGGTGGGCGTCTGCACGCTGTGCCACCTCCTCCGGTGACCTGATGTGTACCCCGATGCTAGCAGAGGAGCAAGAGGGCAGGCGGGGCCAGGCAGGTCACTTCTAAGCCCGCTGCAGGGACATCTGCACCCTGCCGCTGCCCAGTGTCAGGGCCTGGACAACACGTGTTGCGGGAAGGAGCGGCAGAGAGCGGTGTTCTCTGTCAACAGCTGGGGCCCTTGGCACGGTCACGTGTGGCGGCCAAGCCCCCCAGCGCCACAGCTGGCCCCGCTCACCAGGTGCCCTTCCGTGTGCATGCGGGTGTCCGAGTCCTCTGGCTATCTGGGGGAGGGGTCTCAAGCTAGCTAGGACTCCTGAGTCCAGGATGGCTGTGGGCCCAGGTGGCCTAGGAGTCGCTGGTTGAAGATGGAGGCAGCACTGAGGGCTCCTGGCTGTCCCTGCCCCGGCTTGGGGTGACACTCAGTGACCATCAGGGGCCAGGGATAGGCAGACTGAGTGACCCCAAGACTGGCCAGGCTTCTCATGTGTCGCTGTCCCTTGCCCCCGTGGGGCCATACCTCGCCTACCGTGGGGGTGCTCACTGCCCCCGTCATCCCTGAGCCCTGCTCAGGGCACAGAGGCCACACTCGGGGGACCCCTGAACCCACCCACTGCTCTGCCTCAGTTTCCTCATGTGCAAGACAGAAAGAACCACAGTTCCTATTTTTCGGGAATCCGCCTCCAGCCCATCCTCACCAGCGTGGTGAGCGCCGGGTCCTTCGCCATGCTCTCAGGCCGCATCAGGAAGCATTCAGAAAACCTCCGTGGGCTCTGCCTGGCACCCAGGGGATGGGGGACAAAGGCCCGGCCCCAGCCCGCAAGCCTGGGCCTGCAGGTGCCGTCTGATGGGGACCATTGCGGGGAACCAGCTCCCCCCTCGTCCTGAGCCTAGGAGCAGTGAGCACTCGGAACCCGGCCTGGTCTCTGACTGAGCTCTGCCCGAGAGACCCCTTCCTGGGTGGGAAGCTGGCTGGACCGGGCCTCCCAACACCTGCCCAAGGCATGGGGGTTAATTACCCGCCCTTTGGAGACTGCCCCGGAGCCCAGAGCTGCTGTGAAAGGGCTGACTTTCTGCACCATTGTGGGCAGAGTTAAGCCGTATTAATCTGTCAGAGCAAGTTCCTCCCAAGAATAGATTCTTGTCTGCAATTATGCGGCTCAGTGAGGAGATAACCTTGGCGAGATTTATATTCCAGCCTTAAAATAATAAGAGTCGGAGCGAACTAGCGAAGGTACCACCCCAGGCAGGCGTACAGGGCGCCCGACGGAGCTCAGGAAGACAGTGGGCACCAGGAAGGCTCCTCAAGCACCGCAGTGGGGTGGCTGGGCCTCCCACCCGAGGGGCTGTGGCATCGTCCAGAGGCGGGAAAACTCAGGACAGGACAGGACAGGACGGGACAGGCACGGTTCCCAGGGCTCCGTCGTGGTGGTACCAGGTGTTCTGTGGTCAGGAGAAGCTGCCCTAGAGGGCTGATTTCTCGACCTGAGGGTGATCCCTGCTCAGGATGGAATACTTGGGGAGGACAGGAAGTAGGCAAGGGGAAGGAAGGCCTAGTGTAGGCCTCCATCCTCCACGTATGCGCAGGCATGCACGCAAGGCTGGAAACTGCACCAACAGCTTCCTGGGCCGTCCCTCAGCACACAGAGTGCCCCCTGGGGCCTGCCGTGCCACGTCCTCGGGCCCTCTGCTCCCGTCCTCCTGGGTCCCGTCTTCTCCAGCCCCTTCAGCGGCTTGGTGTGGGTGTCTCCCTCGGCGACAGCTTTGCTGACAGACCGGCAGGATCAGGTCTGTTTTAGCCTCACACACAGCCATGGGAAAGGGTTCCCCAGAGCCAGAGTCAAGGCCCTGCGCTGGGGGGCTGGCCAGGTCTCTCAGATCCACAGGAGTGGATGGTGTGCGGCCTCCGGGTGGCTGGTGTGTGGCCCTGGCCCTCCAGCCTGCTGATATCTCAAGGCTCTGCTGGGCACTTCTGCAGAGCACCTATCAGCTTCTGAGTGCAGAAGGGGCAGCCTTGGGTTTCGGAGGCCACCACCTGCCTCCAAGCCCGCCAAGCCTGACGCACCAGGCTCACCTCCGGGAGCCGTGTGGAACCCGCGTCTCTGCCATCAGATGTGCAAACCACCGTGTGCTCAGGTGGGGGGGCGGGGGTCAGCAGGCACAGCTGGGCACCTGGGTCCTGGGCTGTTGTTCTCCTCTGGCTCAAACAGTGCCTGGCCACCAGGACAGCCTGCTCTGACTGGGCCCGGGAGGGGATGGGACGGCTGTCCCACAGTGCAGCACCTCTGCCTCCACTCTGCCTACTGCACACATGGAAGGGAACGCAGGCGCTAAGCACATGGGGCAGGAGAGGGACCAAAAAGGGCAGCCCCTGGCCTCCAGCAAACCGAGGGCACAAACCGCCGTGCCACGTTGGCACCCGGCCCCTTCTGTGGAGGCTTTATGCCACATCCAGCTGAGACTCCTGGGCGGAGCTGCCCTGAGCAGAGGCCCCGCCCTGCCTCAGGTGGGAGGGAGCACCCCCGTGCCCTGCTCGGGGTCCAGCCCATCTGTGGGCAAGGGTTGGTGAGGACTCCTCACAGGTCAGGAATCCTGGTCGTGAGAGCCCAGGGGAGACATCTGAGTATCTCATGTGTCCCCAGGGCACTACTTTGTCCCCACTCAGTTCTGAACAGGGTGACACAGTGACACAGTCCTGTGCCAGGGGTCCTGCCATCTTTGGCCTGAGGGCCCCCAGGCTGCCGCAGGGGGGACACCAGGCCTCTCCCCAGTTGTCTTCAGAAGTCTCTCTGGCAAGCTTGCAGCCTCTCTCAGCCTACTCTGTCACCTGGGGTCTAACAGCTTTCCTGACAAATCGCTCGGGAGCCACGGTGTCCCCGGTGAAGGGACATCACGGTGGCATTCAGCATCTTCACAGCCATGCAGCCGTCACCACAGTCCATTTACACCACTTTTTCACCCCAAACAAATGCTGGCCGCTTGCTATCAGCTCTCTCCCCATCACCCCAGATCGCTGACCCCAGCCCTAACCCGCCCAGCCACCTGATTCCTGTCTGTGTGGGGTTCTCTTCCGACGTTCCTCATGAGCGTACAACTGTGCTGCCGCTAGGATGTTCTGTGAACCCTGGGGCCGGCACTGAGAGCCTTGATCTCACAGTGTTGCCCAGGCTGGCCTCAAATTTGAGGTGATCCTTCTGCCTCAGCCTCCCCGGTGCTGGGATTACAAGCGTCTGCCACCATGCCTGGCTCACATGGTTACATTTCTACATTAGGATAGCTGTAGGAAACATGCTCGGGCACAGCCGGAAGAAAGTGTCACAGAAACACGGAGGGAGAGACATGCTGGTTGGGGGTTCCAGAATAACCCCCCACAGATGTGGGGAGCACGCACCACAAATTCCACTTTGCAGATGAGGAAACTGAGGTCCAAGGTGTCCAGAAAATTGGCAGCACCTCCTAAAGGATCGAGATCTTTGGGTGTCTGATTTTAGGGTGTTTCTAAAGTAGAGGTTTTCCTAGAAAGTACATTTAAAGGAGGGCAAGCAAAACATTTACCTTTCTTAAGCAGGCCGTTGAGCAGTCTCAAGGTAGGCTGGACCCTAACTCTGCCCCACTATGTGGTGTCAGCCACAACCCTGTACAGCAGGGGTCATCGCCCATCTCACAGAGTAAGAAACTGAGGCTCAGAAAGACTAGGCACTGTCCTAAGGCCACACAGCTGCTCGGGGGATTGCCAGGGCAGGTCCCCTGTGGCTCCAGCAGGCCTTGCTTACCTGTCTCCCTCGGATGAGGGGGATGAGGTGTCCCACAGCCATCCTCTGGTCCCTAGGCACCTACGGTCACATAAGAAGCCCCAGTGATGGTGTAAGTGGGCAAAGGCTATTTATATTTTTGTGCAGTGCCGGGGAGGGACCCAGAGCCCCATGCAGCTAGGCAAGCGCTCACCACTGAGTGTACCCCCGCCCTGGCGTGATGGAGGGATGGGAGCCGGGCTTGTAGGCCCCAGGAATCACATCCCCAGCCCAGCCCCGCACGGAGGTTCACATTGCAAAGTCACCTTTCTGGGACCCAGGTGCGGGCCTTCCTTCAGAGCAGCTGCGGCCAGGCAGAGGCCCCTCCTCAGATGCGGCAGGGCATGCTCATCTAGAGCACTGACTGACTGCCAGCCTTCTGGGTGCCTAGCTGGTGCCCCACCCCAGCCCAGGCCACTGGACACAGCCCCGCGGAGGCCGTCCTTGTCCTTCCTGCCTTCACCTGGCAGCCAACCTCACTCCCGCCCCTGGAGCTCTGTCCTCCCCTCTGCAGCACCCCTGGCCCTGCCTTGCCCCAGACATCCTGGGAGGGCCCGGCCCCAGGCCTGGATTTCCTGCAGGCCCTCCTCCCTTGCACTGACCCCACCTTCTCCTCACAGCCTGACTGCCACCTGCACCTGCACCTGCGCTGGGCGGACAACCCCTACGTGTCAGGCACCGTGCACACCAAAGACACTGCCCCAGGCCTCATCATGGGTGCAGGTGGGTACCGCTGTGCAGGGAAGCTCCCTGCACAGAGGGAAACGGGGGCCAGGCAGGGCCTGTGGCCATGGTGTGTCCATTTGGGAAAGCGCTTCAGCTTCTCCAAGACGCTCAGCTCTCATGAGAACCTGGAGGGGTGAGTGGGATGCAGTGGACGTGTGGTGTGTGTCAGATGAACAGAAGGAAGAAAGGGTGAAGGGGTGCATGGATGGATGCATGGATAGGTAAAGCATGGGCAGGTGGATAAGTGGATACTGGATGGATGTGTGCAGGAAAAGAAGGAGGGAGATGAAGGGAAGGGAGGCAGGGAGATGGAGGATTTGGATCATGGCTGACGTTTATTGGTCCCTGAAAAGTGGAGGAGAAAGGCTTGTATGCAAGTAGATTATCTTTTTAAAAAAACAAAAATATAATTGCTATATGTGTTTGTGGTCCTCATGAAACTAGAACCTACGTTGGGGCTGGTTAGGTGTGTGCTGATCAAATAACACCGTCAAACAAGATCCATTCAAGTTAGAGGAGTCATTCAAAATCAGAAGCAGGCCCCTGGCAGGAGGTCACTGGGCAGGCTTGGGGAGGGGCCAGACCATGTCACAGCATGAGGACACAGAGGCAAGGCCCACAGCATGCCGCTTACTGAGCCACCACCTGGCCCTCTGTTGGCCCTAGCACCAGCTGCAACATGAAGAGAGTGCTGCGGGGTGGAGGCGAAGGCTGGGTGCAGTTGGACCCCAACTCTGCGCCGGATGGCACGTCCAGCCCTTCGCCATCTCCAGCGTGAGGCCTGACCCACAGCGGCTCCTCCAGGGCTGCCGGCTGTGCAGGGAGAAGGGGCGTGGAGCTTCAGCAAGGCTGGCTTGTGTTTTCAGCCCGTGGTCAGCCTGCTCCAAGGTCAGCCTCAGCTCCGGCTCTCAGAGCCCCACCCTGTCCAGGGAAGCTCCCTGCACAGAGGGAAATGCGTGGCCAGGCAGTGGCCCGGGACCACGGTGTGCCTATCAGGGGACAGTGCCTCAGTCTCTCCAAGATGTTCAGCTCGCGTGGAGAACCCTGAGTGGCACGGTGGAAGGGCCTGGTGGAGGAGAGTGGCTCACAGCATGGGGGACAGGAAGCAGAGAGAAGGGAGGAGCTGGGAGGGACGACGAACCCTTGTGGGCCACGCCCCCAGGACCTCTTCCCACCAGGCCCCGCCCCTTTAACCAAGCCAGCCGTAGGCCTACATAACCCAGTGACCCTCCACAAATCCCTGCTCTAAGCACATGCGGCTTTCCGGGGGGCATCCGGATATGAACCCTAATGGGATAGTGCATTTACAGAGCACTCTCATGCTTGGCTGGAACCCTAAATCCTTAACCAAAATACAAAAGGCACAGTGTCAGTGCCACCACTCCTGGGAGGCCGTTAGAGCTGGGAGTGAGTGTTCCAGCCCCAAGAGGCTCTGTGCATCCACGAGATGTGTATGGGCCGCACAGGAAGTGGGTGCTGCCCAGCTGCTGTGGGGGCTTCAGTGCAGCCCCCTCCCCGACTTTCCCCTTGGGGCTGGATGCTGCCTCCTTACCTCGCTGTGCCCTTTCTCGTCTTGGTGGCCACCTGCTCTTCGCTTACATCTTCCTGGCCAGCGTAAGCCTGTGGGAGGAAGCCGGGCGGGTGGTCCTCCCGAGCCAGACCGGCTCCCACTCTCTGCCCTCATGGGGCCAAGCAGACCCAATGCAGACAGTGAGGGGCTTGGTCCATAGTGTCCAGATCCAGTGCTTGCTCTCCGCCTGGCCTTCCATCTACAGACCCCGCCCCTCACACCTCTGCCCCCTCTCCCTGCAGCCTTCACCCTCCAAGAGCTCACATCTCCAGGCTCAGCTGCAGGCCACGTCCTGCCTCAGTTCCTCCTTGCCACTGTCCTCACAGATCCACTATCCTGGCTCTGAGTGTGACTGCACAGCCACCTTCCTCCCTGCTAGACGGACAGCTGTCAGGGAGTGGGGCAGAGCACATGCAGCTCAGACTCCCGGAGCCCAGCACAGGGCTGGGCAGAGGGCTCGGGAAGTGCTGGATACATGCAGGAATGGGTTCCTGAGTGGAGATAATGAAGAAATAGAAGTATGGATGGTAGGATGGATGGTTGGATGGATAATAGCCTTATAAAGATGGATGGATGCATGGATAATGGATGGATAGATGGAGGCATGGATAGATGGATGGATGGATGGATGGAGGCATGGATAATAGATGGATAGATGCATGGGTGGATGGGTGGATGGATGGATGGATGGGTGGATGGAGGCATGGATAATAGACGGATAGATGCATGAATGGATGGGTGGATGGATGGATGGGTGGATGGAGGCATGGATAATAGATGGATAGATGCATGGGTGGATGGGTGGATGGATAGATGGATGTGTGGATGGATGGAGGTATGGATAATAGATGGATAGATGCATGGGTGGATGGGTGGATATATGTGTAATGAGGGGTGGATGGGGGAATTGAAGCATGGATAATGGGTGGATGGATGGATAATGGGGGTGGGTGAATGAGTAGATTGATGGATGCGTGGATAATGGGTGGATGGACACGTGGACACATAGGGAATGGGGGATGAACGGCTGGATGGAGGTATGGATAATGACTGGATGGGTGGATGGATGCAATAGATTGATAGCAGAGGGGTGGATGTATGAGTGGACGGATGGATGGATAGGTGAATGGATCTACTTCAGGAAAGACAAGCACACACCCTGCTTAGGACTTGAAATCATCTATTTGAGGACAATCCATTTCCCTTGGTATTTCCCAGTGCCTCAATTTGAAATGAATGAAATACTTCTGAGTGTGTCATCTAGATAAGGCTTCAAACGGCAGGTGCCAGCACCAGCACAGAAATACGGCACAGCGAGTGAGGCGCGGGGGCCTCTGGGGCTCCCCTCGCGTCCAGGGGGTTTGAGTGTCTTATTCCGGGGACAGGAACCTGCCTCTGCCATGACCAGGGCTGCGGCAGAGGCTGTCACTTCACAGAGCAGCACTCCTGCCACAGCCTTGCCCCGCTTCCCTGCTGTGACTCCACTCCTGCAGTCGCATCTGTGCCCCTTAGCAGAGCCATCTGGATGACAGGCAGAACAGGGCTCAGGTGGGCAGAACTGGGGAGGCCCAGTCTGCCCCGGGCACACACCTACCCCACGCTCCCCCAGGCCCCTCCTCACCCTTCCATGGTCTCACGCACCCTGTGCCTACCTCTGGTCCCTGCAGCCTGTCCCTGGCCACCACATTTTTTTCTTTCTTCTTTTTTTTTCTTTACTGGAGATTGAACCCAGGGCCTTCGCAGTGAGCTACATCTGAAGCCCCTTTAATTTTTAAAATTTGGAGACAGGGTCTCACTAAGTTGCTAAGTTGCCTGGGCTGGGCTCTAACTTGGGGTCCTCCTGCCTCAGCCTCCCAGATTGCTGGGACTCCAAATGTGCACCCCAATGTGTGGCTGTACTTCTTATACTTGAGCCACAGCTGTTCATCCTCTGAGGGGCTCCAGCTCTGTCCACACCTGGTTAGCGGCTGAGCCACCTGGGCTTGGGAGTTTGTGCAGAGCTGGGCTGTCACTGCACGGAGGGAACCTGGGCCTGAGCCCAGGAGCCAAAGCAGGGCCTCTGTGGGGGAGGATGGCAGGGACACACTGACGGGCAGCTCTGGTGATGGAGCTGGGGACCGGGACACAGGCACCTTGCACACCTGGGCACTGCCTGGCTCCGTCCTGGGTGAAAGGGGGAGCCGCTGGACCCCAAGAGCACCTCTCCCTTTCCCTGTGACCAGGTAACCTGGGCTCACAGCTGGTGGAGTACAAGGAGGAGATGTACATCACGGCGGACTGCGGGCGCACCTGGCGGCAGGTAAGGCGGCGTGCACCCAGTCCTACCTCGGACCCGTACTCCCAGGAGACGGTTGTCCTATCACGCTGCCCCGGGCCAGCGGAGTGGCCCCTGTAGTACCTGGATGAGTGGCCCCTATAGCACCTGGTGCCCCTGCCACATGAGTGCAGCCGCCCCGTGTCCTCTGTGGCCGAACACTGGAGGTGGGGACTCCGCTGTGCTGGCTTCCTGCAGGCGGGAGTGCGTGGACGGGACGCTGGTAGAGGGAGAGGGGAGAGGAGCGGGTCTGGGGGCCCTGGGGGTCCGGGCTGGGCTCTGGGGAGCATCGGGGGCGTGGTCCACAGGCAGAGCGTGGCCAAGATGAGGAAGAAGCGGGGTGCATGTGGGAGGCGGCCCCTCTACGCACCGGGGCCCGGTGGAGGTCAGCGTCAGGCCAGGGACGCCCTCTTGACCTTCAGCGTGTGGGGACAGCGAGGCCAAGGGAGGAGGGAGTCGGCCCTGCCCACCCTGGACAGCTGCGCCAGCTCCAGGACCCACGTGTCCCCAGCACAGCCCCGCCTCCCCTCACCCCTGATTCCCTGAGGGCTAGGCTGGGGTTGGATCGTCCTGGAGCAGAGCTGGGCTTCGCAGACGGGGGGAGCCCGGTTCGGGTCCAGCTGTGTCGTGGCCGGGTGCGGCCCCTCGGGTGGCGGTGACACTGGCTCTGGACAGACACATTCATCCCCGACATGCAAAGTCTGCCTGCCTCCTCGGCTTAAGGCCGGATCGTTTTTAATCACATGCAAGAAATAAGGAATTTTGAAAAGGGCAAAAGCGATTTATCATATTAGAATATTTCTGTTTCACTAGAACCTGAAAAGACATCGAGTCTCTCAAAGGTCACCACCTGTCCATTGCCAGCGGCCCCTGTGGTCTTACAGACAGGGGCTGAGGCGCTCAGTGGCGGTCACCCTGGCCGAGCGGCTTGTTTGGGTTTCAAACCTGGGGATGACAGACCTAGATGAGAGGACGGAGTCGGGTGGAGTTGGGCTGGGAGTGCGGGGATGCCCTGGGTGCTGGCCGGTGTGCGCATGTGCGTGTGTGTGCCGGGGAGGGAGATGTTCACACTGGGTCTGGCGTTCACTGAGAGGAAGAGGAGAAAAAGCAGGTGCCCGGGCAGCAGGGTGGACACACCGCACAGAAGGCAGATGCAGCACCCGCTGGCCACCACGTGTGGGCGCGTGGCACACCTCAGAGAACAGGACCAGCGCAGGAAGGACAGTGACAGGCACACCTCACGCAGTGGACATGGTCTTTGACACACTCAGCTCCCCAGTGACCCAGGACAGGGGGACCCAGGAGCTGGTGAGCCCTGGGAGCCCTGTGGGACTCAGGCTGGGGATGGGCTTGGGTGCTGGGGACCCACCGAGGCACAGGGAGCCACAGCCTTGGCTACTGGCAGAGCCACGGTCCTGCTAGGACGGGGGAAACCCGGGCCCCTTTTCCGAGAGCCCCCAAGCTAATGAGAGCGATGTTTCTTCTGGTTCCCAGGATGGCTCGGAGGCGCCCCCTTCTGTCTCTCCCACGGTGGCTGTGACCAAAGCCCTCCTCGCTGTCCTGGGGGCGGGGTGTGGTGGCCCAGGGTCTCCTTGGAGACCTGGCTGTGCAATTCAGGGTTCACCCCTGCCTTCCGTAGCTGTCACCCTTGGCGGGGGGACCCTGAGAGACATCAGATGAGGCGCCTGTGAGGTGCAGGTCTTGCCGGGCACACTTGGGAAGGGGACAAGCAGGGTCCACTCTGCCACTGTCCCACTCAGCCTCTCGGAGACCAGCACGGTTCCGGCCGCCAGGGTCCTGCACGCACATTCTTGGGAAGAGAGCTCTGCTCGCTGGGGAGGGGCCTCACTGCCTCCAGGAGGAGCAGCGCTGGCCTGGACCACTCTGTCCCTGAGTCATGATCACGCGTGAGGAAGCTTCTGGAAGGAAGCCCTCCCCACGGAGACCGGCCCACGCCCCTCACGGCCTGGGGCTGCCTGGGCTCAGGGTGCAGGCTCCGTGGCACGTGTCCTCACTTGTCTCCAGTACTCTGGTGGGGGCGTGGTGCTGAGGCAGGGCGGCGGGCACAGGTGCTAGGCCCTGTGTTAGTCCAGTCACCGCCAGGGGCGCCCCAGCAGGAGCAGGGTGGGCGAGGGCTCATGGCCACGCTGGGTGCGTGTGGCAGGGCGGCTTCCCCACAGCTCTCTCTGGCATGCACAGGGGCCCAGGCCACGTATCCCTCCCAGGGCTGGTGCCCCACAGCTTGAGGACCTTCTACCAGACCCACAGGGCAGGGCTCAACCACAGCTTGTGACATTTGGCCTGACCAGAATCCCCCTTCCCAATAAATACAAAGGGAAGGAGGGAGCGGGACCCTGGGACACATCCCCTGGCTCTGACCCATTGTAAGGGGAGTTCTTATGAGCAGTGGGGTGTGCCAGTGAGGCTGCTAACAAAGTAGAATCGGCTGGGAAAGAGCTTGGCAGGTGGGGAAGCAGTGTGTGCAAACATCCTGGGGTGCATTCAGGGATGGAGCCAGAGTGGCCAGTGGTGGAGGGTGGAGGACAGTGGTCAGGCCTCCTCCTGCAGAGTCCTGAGGCCCTGGAAGGATGGGTACCATCTGCAAGGGCTGTGGCGAGAGGAGGGGTTGCCTCACACACACGTTTCCCCAGTGTCCCCGCCCCCAGCGCACCGTGCCCTGTCCCTCAGGTGTTCGAGGAGGAGCATCACATCCTCTACCTGGACCACGGCGGCGTGATCGTGGCCATCAAGGACACCTCCATCCCTCTGAAGATCCTCAAGTGGGTGCGGGGACGCCGGCCGGTCGGAGAGGGCGGCAGCAGGGGGCGCCCGAGAGCAGCTCCCGGGGCCGAAGCGGCCCTGAGCCCTGCGCCTGGGAGCCCTGCAGTTCCCCAGGATGCGACAGAGGGAGCCTGGAGGGGCGGGTGGCGCAGGGAGTAGCCCCGCGGGGGCGGGGAGGGCTTTCCGGAGGAGGTGATGTAAGGATCAGTCGGTGGAGGGCTGGAACCAGCAACGAGTGCCCACGTGAGCAGGGTTGGCAGCCCCTTCGGACATCTGAAGGCCCATAGGGAAACTGAGGAGAGAGAAAACCTAGGGTCCCAAAGGCAGAACTAGGGCAGCTGGTAGGAAGTCAGTTTCACTTCAGTCTAAAGAAGAGCAAGGTGGGGCTGAGCTCGATGTTCCCAAAGCCTGGCGATCCCTACCCCTCGGGAGTGCTGGGTGTCAGCCTGGTAGCCAGGTAAAGGGCCCAGGGCACACGCCGTGGTCTCACAACCCCAGTGTGGCTGCGGCCGTGCTGGCAAGACGCTGCCGCCCCGCGCCCGGAGAGGAGGAGCCTGGGGTGCGGCCGCGGCTCCGTGGGACGCTGAGGCCCCTCCCCCAGGTTCAGCGTGGACGAGGGCGTCACGTGGAGCACGCACAACTTCACCGGCACCTCGGTGTTCGTGGACGGGCTGCTGAGCGAGCCGGGAGACGAGACGCTGGTCATGACGTGAGTGGCGCGGGGACCAGCAGCCGTGCAGGACCAGGAGGCGAGTCGCGTTCTGACGCGGACGTCCTCCTGCGGGGCGGGCAGCTCCTCATCCCTCAGCCCGGGCCCCAGCCCAGGCCCCAGCCGCGGCCCCAGCCTCTGTGAGGCGGGCATGGAGTCCCCGCTTCAGGATATTGCCCTTACCCGGTCCCGCTGGTGAGGGTGGAACCGGCCAGCCTGGACCTCACCGTGCCTCAAGGGTGGCACTGGGTACCAGGAGGAGCCTGGGTGTCCGCCTCACCCATAGGTGCACAGAGGACTGAAAGCAGGTAGCGCAGTGCCAGGAGCCAGGTTGGGTCCCCGCTGTCCCCTGCCCAGGACCCCAAGGCCAGAGCCCAGCCAGCTCCTCTGAGCAGAAGGGACAGCGGGGCATGGGTGTTCAGATCTGCCGTGGCGTGGGAAACGGGCTTACAGGACCCGGGGTGGCCACACTTCCGGATGGAAGGGGCAGCACTACTCCTGCGCCTGCTGCAGGGTCTGAGCCCTAACCGAGCAGGCCCGGGTGCAGTGGGACAGGGACTCTGCTGCCCCACAGCTGCTGTGCTGTCCCCAGCTGGGCATTCCCAGCAGCTTCCGTCCCATGCAGGCTTCTCCCTTCTGCCCCACAGTGTGGCTGGGCATCAGTGCCCCCCAATCTCCACATCCCCCCGGAACCTGGCATGGGAGCAGAGGTGTCCAGACAAGGCTGGCTGGGGCAGGGAACAGCTGGGTGACAGTGGCACAGGGCAAGGAGGGGCTCCGCGGAAGCCGAGCAGGGTGGAGTGGGGCAGGCACAGGACTGTCCCTCGGGTCGGGTCACTGCCAGTCCCCTTCAGGCACTGGGTTGGCAGCCAAGCCTCACAGCATCCACGCAGGTTTGGGGTTTTGTCACTGTCGTCAGGGCTGATGAGATGGTGCGGAGCATCAGTGTCCTCCATGCCACTCAGGATGGGTAAACTGAGGCTATGGGAGGCCGCTAGGCTGTGACACCCAATGCTGGCTCCCCGTGGGGGCTGCGGCTCTGCCAGGCTGGTCGAGGCTGTCACCCAGCCTCCACTTCCCCATCTGTAAGATGGTCGCGGTGGTCCTGTGCGCCTCCTGGGGAGGCGTAAGGAGAGGGTGGGATCCCAGGCACTCACCAGCACAGCGGGAGCCATCAGCACAGCCCCGTGGCTGCAGCAGGGAGTGCCGGCTTAGCTGGAGACCTGGCAGTGTCCCCACAGGGTATTTGCGAGGTCAGAGGGTAACGGTGGAGAGAGGCTCCCGCGATGGATCAGGGCGGGTGACGAGGGGCACACAGGCACCTCAGGGCCAAGGCCACCTACAGCTGCAGCCACCAGCCAGGCCCTCAGTGGGATTTGACACCTGCAAGGGTGGCTGGATGGGTAGAGGGGGATAGTATCCATGGTTACCCTCACCTCCAGGTAGCAGGAGGGTCCCAAGGCCACATGCTCCCTTGGGCAGAGGGTCAGTGTTACTTCCTTCCTCATCACTGAGACACAATACTTGACATCCACAAGTGAAAGGAGAGCTTTACTTCAACTCGCAGTTTGTAGAGGTTTCCGTCCATAACCGGCTGGCTCCAAGTCAGGGCGGCATAGCAGGGGAGCATCGCAGAGGATAAACAGTCCATGGCAGGGCAGGCAGGAAGCAGCAGCCTCCCTTTGCCTTTTATCCCATCCCGGCTATAAGCCTTTTGCTTGATGCCACCCATACCCAGCGTGGGTCTTCTCTCTTCAGTAAATCCATTCAGCCACACCCAGAATTGTGTTGATCCAATCGGTGAATCACGCCTGCGGTCCAGTATCACACCCACAACCCAGTATCACACCTATGACCCAGTATCACACCCCTGATCCAGTCACTCCCAAAAGCCCCACCTGGGAGCACATGAGGCTTCAACAGACTTAACAGTCCAAGACCATAGTCCTTGGAGCAGGCCGCCAGCCACAGGCAGCGAGGGTGGCTGGAAGACTCTGGTGCACGTCCCAGGTGCTGAGCATTCAGCAGAGGACGCAGGACAGTGAACTGGGGCCGTGGAGAGGACATGGCCCTCAGGGAGCCATTGGGGAGGTCAGCAGTGCGTGTCCTGCTGTGCTGCACCACCCAGCTGTCACTGCCCCAGCACCATCCCTGAAGGCCAGGAAATGGAGGCACAGAGGGAAAGGGGCCCGCGCAGGGTCACAGGTGTGGGGATCACTTCCCCAAGTGGACGCCTGACCTCTGGCAATGCGGCCAGGGCACTGCAAGCTGCATTGGAGAAGGACCAGGCCAGGACAGGCTGGGCCCCTCTTTTGGGGCGGGCCTGGGAGCCCAAGAGTGAGGGAAGGGTGGGGGACAGGGATGGAGAGGAAGCTGCTCAGACAGCTACAAGGATGCGGCAGACAAGCTGTGTGACCTTGGACAAGTGGCTGTGCCTCTCTGGGCCTCAGGGCCTCTGTCTGTAAACAGGGGTACTCTTGGCTTCCAGCATACTGTGGATGCCCCTGTGTGGCTAGTGTCTTGCAGTGCCCCTGCTCCTGCCCCCCAGGGCTGGAAGTGCCTGGCCTTCCCCTGCAGGGCCACCTGAGGGAGGGAGGACGGCAGGAAGAGGCTGTGTGGCCCTGACACAGCCCTGTCCTCAGCTGCTGTGCAAAGCACAGGGCAAGGAACAGTGTGGGTGGTTCCTGGAAGGGTCCCCCCAGCCGCTCAGAGGCCAGGGCTCCTGGCTCCATCAACGGGGCCATGCAGCGCAGCCAGAAAGCTGGGGACTGCAGCCAGAGCCAGCCAAGTGGATGCAGTCTGGCTGAGGTGCCGTCTCCTGGCCCCGCCCCCAGGGTCTTTGGCCACATCAGCTTCCGCTCCGACTGGGAGCTGGTCAAGGTGGACTTCCGGCCCTCCTTCTCCAGGCCATGTGGTGAGGACGACTATGCCTCCTGGAACCTCGCCAGCCTCCAGGTAGGGCCGCTGCCCGGGGGTCTTCTGGGTCCCCCTGTGCCCGGGAAGGCTGGGCAGGAGAGGCTGGCACAGCGTGGCCTCAGCCTCGCCTGGCACTGTGGGCCTGTTTCCTCCTCTGTAAAAGTGGTGGCCCCTGCCCCGCTGCTGCCTGAGGAACTGCAGGATGGGCAGAGCCAGCGGGTGGACAGCTGTTCCCTCGCAGTGGCCCTCACCCCGTGTTCCCACCGCAGGGCGACCAGTGCATCATGGGCCAGCAGCGGAGCTTCCGGAAGAGGAAGCCGGCGTCCTGGTGCGTCCAGGGCCGGACCTTCACCTCGGCACTCAGGGCGCACGTGTGCCAGTGCCGAGACTCAGACTTCCTCTGGTGAGCGCTGACTGCCCGCCGTGCCCCTCCTGGGTCCCTGGAGGCCACGCTGGCTTTCCTGGCCCAGTCTCCAAGTCACAGGCCGCCACCAGAGCCTATGTGTCAGTCCTGTTGTCCCTCGGGTTTGAAGTGCTAACGAACTCCCGGGCACGTTTTCCAAACTGTCCTGTAGCCTCTGTCTGGTTGGGGGAGAAACTGAGGCACTCAGGGACCATGAAGGCAGGTTGCACCCCAGCCCCTGTCCTTGGTGACTCGCTGAGAGCCATGCGCCACCCCCTGCTCCTATCAGCAGTGCTCGGGGGCTGGGCATGGTGGCGCACACCTGTGTTCCTAGTTCTCTGGGAGTCTGAGGCAGGAGGATTGCACGTCTGAACCCAGCCTGGGCAACACAGCAACTTAGGGAGACCCTGTCTCAAAAAATGAAACAAGGGGTGGGGGTATAGTTTCGTGCAAAGGCCCTGGGTTCGATTCCCAGTACTGGGGGGAAAAATTCTGTGGCTGCCTGCTGCCCAGGACAGTGTGTCTCTCAGGCCTCCGGACCACCAGCACCCCTGTCCCCTCCCATCCTGTCCCTACATCCCAGCTCTCGCATGGCTCCTGCTGTGGCAGCTCCTGAGGCTCTCGCCACCTCCTCCAGGAAGGCCTCTGGCCCCGCAGCACAGCGCACCGCCTCTCCCGTCACTGTGCCTGTGGCCGTCCTGTTTGGGCCGCCTCGCCCTTGGGGACAGGGTGGCTCTGGCCTGAGATCCCCTCCCCAGCCTCTGCGTCCTGTGCCTGACTCTGCTCTCTCCTCCCAGCGACTATGGGTTCGAGCGCACGCCCTCCTTGGAGCCTGGCGCCAAGTGTGCGGCCAACTTCTGGTTCAACCCCCTGTCCCCACCTGACGACTGCGTGGTGGGCCAGACCTACACCAGCAGCCTCGGGTGAGTGCGGCCTCCGCCCGCCCCACGCCCGCCCGCGGCCACGTAGTCCTCCTGCTGGAAGGCTCCAGGAGTCACCAGGCTTAGACCCCGACCTTCCCCTCCACCCCACCAGGCCAGCAGGGGGCGGGAAAGGGCCCAGTAGGCGGGCTCCCACCTGCCACAGGCGAAGGCTGCCCAGAGGGAGATCCCTGCCCCAGTGCCCCAACCTGCAGTTCCAGGGCTGCCTGCTCACCAGGGCTGTGGAGCCAGGCCCTGGTGGGTGCTTTGGACACCTGTCCCTGCCTGTGGGTCTCCGCCAGAATGGTGCCTCCTCCAGGAAGCCTTCCGGACACCCACCTCTGTGCCATCAGCTCAGTGTGTCAGAGCCCCAGCCTCAGTCACAGCCATCATCCTGTTTGCCCCCTGCTGGACCGGGAGCCCTGACACCAGCATGTGCCCTGCAGCTGGGTGCAGACACCGGCTGGGCAGCAGGCCCAGTGCCCCGCAGATGGGGCAGCGATGACACTGTCCCTGCTGGGCTGAGCACGCTGCTTCTGAAGTGCTCACTTCATGTGCAAGTGCCGGGTGTGTAAGAGCTGCGAGCCTTCAGCACACTCCGTGAAAAGGCCCCACATCTCCTGTCCTCCACGAGGAAATCTGCAAAGAGGGGAGAAGAGGCCCCAGGGCTCATGGGAAATCCCAGCACTTCCCTTTGTAGCGGAGGAAACAGGAAGCAAGACCAGAAACTGCAGGCCTTGGCCTCAGCAGCACACACACTGGGATCCATCCTCCCACTGACACATCCATCCAGACACCCTTCCAGCCATTCATCTACCATCCATCCACTTACTCCTCCATCCATCCGTCCATCCACCCACCAACCAGCCCACCAACCACTCAGCCATCCAACTATCCATCCGTTTACCCACCCACCTGTTCACCACCCATGCACCCACCTATCCATCCAACTACCATTCACCTGTCCATTTCCCATCCATCCATCCATCCATCCATCCATCCATCCATCCATCCAACTACCTGCCTATCTGGCTATCTATCTATCTGTTCATCCGTCCAACTTCTGATCATTCTTCTACTGTCCATCCATCATTCTATCCATCTATCCATTCATCCATCCTTGCAATCATTTATCTACCATCCATCTATCTACCCATTCATCTACCCACCCAGCTAGCCAGCAAGCATCCATCCATCTGTCCATCATTACCTACCATTCATCTACTCATCCACCCATCCATTCATCTACCATCCGTCTATCCACCCATCCATCCATCCATTACTCCCTCCTCCCACACGCACACACACACCATCCACCCACTGACCATCCATCTATCCGCTTGTGTTTTCCATTGACCCACCCATCCATCCATCCACCACCCATCTACATATCCACTCATCCTTCTCATCATTTTTCCATCCACCTACTGTAGCCGCAGGGCCTCTCCAGCACACCCCTAGGGTTGGCGAGCAGGGCCTGTCATCGGAAGCATCAGAGCCAAGACCTGTGACAAGAGCGAAGGATTCTAGGCCATGCTGTGTGCACACTGAGCACCAGGGAGCTATAGGTGGGAAGCTCTTAGAGAGCCACATCCTCTGTCACACGCTCAGTGCATTGACCTTTGCTGGATAAACTTCCAACTGTCTGGTCAGCATCTGAGCCACCCAAGAGAGCCCAGCCCTAAGGATGCAGTCCCTGAGCACTGTCAAGCAATGCCAGCTTCCCAGACTGCATTCTGAGTGGGAGCTTTGCTTCCCAGCAGTCTCTGAAGTGTCCCTGGGGCCTTCAGGCTCTGCCCAGCAGCCCCTTCTATCCTCATGCCCCCTGCTCGCTCTGCCACCACAGGGCCTTTGCCCATGACATTCCTGTCACCTGTGACAGTCTTCTCTTGCTCACCTCACAGGCTCAGCTGAAGGCCTCATTCTCAGGAGGGCTCCCCAGGTACCACCTCTCCCAGTACTGCCACAGCCATGATTCTCCACTGATGTGGACAGGCTGCTCCGCCAGGGGCAGGGGTGCCTGTGTCACCTCCTTCCAGGGCCAGGCATTTAAAAACGCTTAGTAAACAGTGAGGGTGACGGACCAGGCACCTTGAGCCTGGCTCTCTCCAGGCAGCTGGGCGATGGAGCCCAAGAGGAGGGCGTGTTGCCCAGGGCCACCGGAGAGCCAGGGCCAGGCCTGTTGGGCACTGTGAACTCTGCGCTTCTCAGCAAGACCAGGACAAGTCCAACTCAGCAGTAACAGCAGCATTACTCTTACTGTAGGACCAGGCCAAGGTAGTGCCAGGCCACTACCAGTCCCGGTGCCCTTGGAACCACAGCACCCGCTCCTCAAGCAGGGCGGCACCAGCACTGGGCAGAGTAGTCAGGAGGGGTGGCAGATGGAGCTGGAAGGGCTGAGCCGAAGCCCTGATTGACAAGCGCATCCGTGCCCGGACGTGAGCCCCGCCCCCAGCCGTGTGATGTGACCCTGGCCCTCCCTCGTCCACCAGGTACCGGAAGGTGGTGTCCAACGTGTGCGAGGGTGGTGTGGACCTGCAGCGGGGCCCGGGGCCACTGCCGTGTCCCCTCATGCCACCCCGGGGCCTGCGGGTGAGCATCCGTGGCGAGGCGGTGGCCGTGCGGCCTGGAGAGGACGTGCTGTTCATGGTGCAGCAAGAGCAGGTGAGTGGCCGCTGGTGACTGCCACGGGGCAGCGGGGGGACGCCGTGCTGGCTGGGGCATGGCCACAGAGACTGGCCCGCCCAGAGCTGCAGGAGGGCCAGAGCCAGAAGTCACCCCAGGTCCACACCAGAGCTTGGAGATGAAACAGCCAGAACGGCATGGGGGCTCAGAGGGCCCCCCCGGGGTCCCCACCCTGGGCTCTCCAGGGCCATGCTGTCCGTACTGGTCTAGAAGGCAAATGTATTCATTCGTGGGTGTCAGAAAAAATGTAAACCTCTAATTATATCACAGATTTACTTACTTTAGGATCTGAACAAAAGCAGAAGGATCTTTTTTAAGAATCTATTTCTTATAGTCACAACCAAAGATGAATCCTGTATGTGTCTCTGGGTGGATATAGGTTTAAATATAGATTTTATAAATACACACATCCAAATATAACACAGAAATCTCCTCCCAACCTCCCACTCTTACTATTTTTACTTTAGAACAAGCATTCGTTTCCTTCTGAATTTAAA